AATTACACTGCAACAACTCAGCAGAGATTTTTTTCTCGGCTTGTTCTCTATGGATTACATATATCACTCTAATGAAAAAAAGTTTACAATTACGTTCAGCACTATACTTTATTCGTAATTTTCATTACACAATGAAACCTATAGTTTTCGCCTACGTAATTAAATTATCCGAGTGAAAAAGAAATACAACGCGAGTTCTTTCACTATGATCGTTTACCATGACATAAGAGTTCGAAAAAAAGGAAAGGCGAATAAAATATGGCATTACCAACGGAAGTTTTGCATGATTTCATTCACTGGTCGTGTCGCATCGCATTCGCTCGAACCTATCAATTTTCTCATGTGCAACTTTCGATCGAGCGTTGTGTAATCTTCAATTTCACTCCGTGCTTTATCATGGAATAGTTTTCTAAAATTTCGAAATAAAAGATGCTGGACCTGACTGAAAAATTGCGCCTCGTCGATGCAAAGCAATTCTAGGACCACGTCGACGAATTTCGTAAACAAGTCATCAGAAATTCGGAATTAAATGAGAAATGTATAACCACACGCACCAATCGATCTTTGAAAATGGCAGAAGAGAGTCGCACGTCCGAGAGCGTTTGTGTCGTAATGGATTGCGATCCCGTGAGCCCGCAACTGGGATCGACCGAACATTGTTCATTTCCACGCTGAATACCTCAATCGAGTCTTCAGATAAAATTAATTAAATAAAATAATTGCGAACGAGGACAATTTTGACTTCGCGAAACGTTAAACGATTGCGGATATTCATATTTCAAGCGCTTCTCGAAATACGCAAAACGGCATAATCAATACAATATGGATTTTGGAAAGTCGGTTTGCTATCAAACTAAAGATGCGGCAGTCAGGCACGCGTCCCGATTCAATGGTATTTAGCGAGACTTGGATCCGCCTCTATATCTAAAAGAACGTAATTGAAAGAAGTTAAAAAAAATATGACTCGTCTTCGCTGTCTACGTGTGATTTACGGCAAATAAGGGAAGTCTAACGCAAAACCAACGTCTTTTGCTCGACGGCTGGAAACTATTTGCACAGGTCTTTTGTCAGAGAGTCATTTGAATCCAAATGGTCTCGACATACGCCTGCGGAAATTTTCTACGTTGAAAGCTTTCTTTCAGACGAGTGTTTGCCAATGGCGAAAAGCGCGAACGAGAAAAAGTTATTATTCGCACACGCGCGTATACAGCAGGAATCCGCGGCTGAAAGTCACAAGTAGCCCCTGACATCAGCGTGGTACTGTCAGTAGACGTGAATTTCTTTCAGATCGGAGTTGCCTGCTTCGGCTTCGGCGGAAATCCAAGTCAATATGACAAGTGTCGATTGCATTGCAAGATGTCAGTCAATTCCAGCCCCTATACGTCCGATTTCAAGTTCAAATTCGCAAACATCTTGCTTCGAGTCACAAAAAGAACATCATACAAGCTTAATTTGAAACCGCTTTAGCAGCGTTCGTCGTCGTCTTTGTATAACGTGATGTTGCTGAAATTACTACATTATGCTACTAAGGAGTATAGTAGACAAAGTACGAACTATGCGAACAACACACGGTGCGCACTTTGTTCATTGTAACAATTGTTTAGATCGTAATAATTTTAACTAGGTGTTCTAATATGATTTATTACAGTACATAATAATTTTTATTATTTGTCGTAACGAACTTTTCAATATCCACGTATAAAAATTATTTTATGGCCATAACAGAAATTAATAAAAGTCGAAGAAATTTTATAGTGACTCGAGTATATCCCACTATCACTAAGTTATTAGGTATTAAATTTTACTGCAACTATAGTAAATTTTATTATACGAATCTTTCAGTATGATTATAATAGCAGCAATAATAATATACTCGAAAGTATTTAGGAAAATTGTACGTCAACAGCAACTTAAATCTGATCATGTTTAATTGCAAAAATGCGCTTGCGTACTATGATTGTTCAACTATGAGTCATCGGATGTAAGTGAATACCAATTTTTATCATCCCGAATGAAATATAACTATGTACGTTTATTTTGAGGAGCTCACGAGAGTCCAGCTACAAAGCAGCGGAGTTGCAAAAATGCGCATGAGTACTATGATAGCTCAATTACGAGTTATCGGATGTAAGTGAATACCACTTTTTATCATTCCGAATGAAACATAACTGCGTTTATTTCGACGAGCTCACGAGAATTCAGTTACAAAGCAGCGGAGTTGGATTTATTTTCAACGTGAACGCTGATAATGTTTTGACGAGAGAAATCTGCAGTCGTTCATCGTTGAAAATTGCGAGCATAAGTTCGTCGTCCTAGATGCTGACTCATACTACTCGCGTGCTCTTGCGTTGGATAACAAATATCGAAACAAGAATGCGGTTATTCCAAACTGAAACGTGTATTGATTGCTGCCGATAGACGTTATAATCCACGCTTGTCAAACAATTATCCGGTGAGTACTATTATTTATTTGCGTCATAAAGTAAAATCTCGTATGAGAAATTAACAGAAAATATTACAAAGAAACTCGTGGAAGAAAGAAATAATTATTTTGCTGATGACACTTGGAGCAAAAACTTGAGTTTGTAAAGAACTGTAAGATGGACTTGTTTGGGGTATTGATAAGTTTGCTGGACATATTATCTCACTTAGCTGCCAATTTTGATTGCTTTATTATGAGAAGTCAGTTTTCTTCATTTTTTTTACTGCAGGAGAATGTTAAATTTATTTCGCGACTTTTATTTCGACATTCAAATAAACATTCACGACCAGGCTTAAAGAAAAGGGTTGTAATTATTATTATTACGATTGTTACATAAATCATTCGACGAAAAAAGTGCTTGCATTTAGCTTATAATGTTTCATCAAGAAAGCAACGTGTTATTGAAAAAAACAAAATTGGTTCTTCGAATCGAAACTCACGAGTTAATCCATTCAACAAAACAATCACCAAAAGCATAATCGACGCAAAACGAACGGGCGAATTGTAAAACGCATTCGTATTCGCGGCGCGGCCACAGCGTCGTTATCCGCGCGATCAATAGTAATCAAGCTGGCGCGATCTCTTTCACACACACGTACCGTATCGGCAAAAAAGAGAGATCGCGGGCGCGCGCACTTTCCTCCCGCGCGTTAACCCGGTGCACTAGTTGCCGCTGCATACGCGCACGAATAGCAGGTGTGTCCTCTCTTGCTGTCTCTCTCTCTCTCTCTCTTTCCTTGGCAATTTCTCTCCACGTGGCGATGCTGCGCGCACGGACACACGTGTGCCGCAGTACCAGCTGCATTACTTATGTATGCGCGCGCACTAGAGTACCAAAGAGGGTATGTACGTGTGTGCGTACACACACTGACCCCCTTTCTCGCGCGCTCGCCAAGAGCCGCCGCGCGCAAAAGTCTTCCGGGAGACGGGGACAAATCGCCGCGCGATATTGTTCTCGGCGACGGGTCGATTCGTCAAACGCGTCGATCGCAACGTTTCCCGCTGAGAGTCGAATTGTCGACCCGTCGGCACGGTTTCGAGATGGCAGCCGCGGCCTCGCGTTATCGAGAGCGAGCAGTCTTGACAACGAGCATCGCGCGAAATTTTTATCCATGCGCAAAACGCGTCGAACGCGCGCACGCGCCGCCAGATAAAAATCTCCGACTACGCGCGTGCTGCGCTAAAAAAAGGACAGTTCCGACGCGAACTCGCGCGCTCGGCGTGAGAGAGATCACGTGCGAAGTATCTCCGCGCGGTGACTTTCGCATGTAACAGGTATGTTGTATATAGCCGTTGGCTCGATGAGTAATCGGACGGGTTCAGCGTACCGGTAAATCTAAAATCCATCAAACTCTCTCTCTTTCTCGCTTTTGATGAGAGCAGCAACCAAAATAATTCGAACGTAATTCGTGCGAGATCATAGAAATAACGCTGTATCGATAAGTCGACATTTCGCGCACGCACGCGCGCATTTCGTAATTTCCGCAATGCAGGTTTTTCATAAGGAAATGCGGAAGCCGCGTAATTCCCATACGCGCACGCGAGTCTGCACCTCGACTGTACTCGCGGCATATACTTTTTGCGAGCGTTGTGAGACACAGAGGATGGCTCGTTGCTTTAGGAGCGAGACATTTGTCAGTTGGAAATTGCCGCGCGATGATGTAATTGTTGTTAAGTGAGTTTTCCGGATTTTCACGCGTCCGCGTACGAGAATGAATTTCGCAAACTAGCAGCAAATCTCGCTGTCGACTGAAATTACGTGAATTTCTGCTCAACTCGACTAAGTGAGTTTCTTTATCGCTCGGACGATTAATTCGAACTCAACGTCGTACTCCGAACGGGTAATCAGAAAATCTTTGATTTTCCCATATCCAGCTGACAATCAAGTCATTAATTTCCAATCAGCGCAACTATGCGATGCTTTAATAACCTGCTCTGTACTTCAGTACACCAATTACACGTATTGACCCACGCGATTTTCACGTAGAAAATAAAAGGCATTTCCACATAGCAGTAAGATTGAACAGGTGGTATAAGGGACACGCCCATACGGGTAATATAACTGTATTTCACGCACGGATAATGCACGCGGCTTATCGATAACAGCTATATATACATCTCTCAGCGGTAAGTAGCCCGTGACGCCCGTACGTATTATATACATGTGTTTACAACCCGATTGTTCTCCGGATGATATTACATTAGAAAAAAGCCACGGCTAAATTGGAAAATGATACATTGTTTTTTTTTCTTTCTTTTTTTTCAATGGATCGCTCTTCAGTGTAACACTTTTCGGTAATCCAAGTTTTTTTGTCGTTGCTCGTCCCGCGACAAAGTGCTTTCCATTTAGTATAACGATATACGACACATTCAATAAAATGCCTCTCGACTCGATCGCAAGAGATTTCAGATGGATCTTTCTTTCGAAGTGAAATTCAAACTGCTCCCTCGACTTTCTCGAATGCAGCCGCGAGAAGAAATTGATAAAGAAATCGTGATGGCAGCATGTCCGACTTACCAAATAGTAATCGATGGGCTTCTCTCTAGCTTTGCTGTAGCCCTTTTGGAGCTCGGTCTGTTTGAGCGCGTGAGCGATGTGCAGCGCCGAGGCATCGAAACGCCCGTACTGATAGCCATCGTGATTGTGATGATGATGATGATGATTGTTGTAGTTGTGTTGATTCTGATGAGGCGACGACGAGTGGCATCCTGGCGATGATAAGTGACTGTGACCGTTCGTGTGCCTAGTCGGCGAATCTGCGCTGTCGTAACTGTAACGAAGGGACATCGTTACCTCAAAGATTCACACGAAGAAAACGAAAAGGAATTTACCTGTGGGGATAAACAGGTCTGGGCGAGCCGCCAGCGCGAATTTGCTCGTTGACGTAGCCACTTCTGGGTACGTTCAAAGCACTTCGAATACCGACGCTCGAGCCGTCGAGTGTGCCAGGTCCTGGTTTTGGTACGTGGCTGCTGCAGTAGACTTCTTTGTCATTGATTGTGTGCTGGTTGTTGTAGTACGTCTTGAGCGTCAGCTTCGTGCCGCATATCGCGCACTTGAAGCATCCCGAATGAAAGAACGTGAAATCCTTTAATGGACCAACGCGATCTACTTGGTAGACTGTCTGCTGGCAACGCAGACACGTGCTCTCGTAGAAATTCGGTCGGTACATCTTTGCCTTCTGTCCTTTCAATTTTATCACGCTTCTGCAAAGTTTCACCAGAAAATATTCACTTGTGCAAATATAATTTTTATAGTTGCGAGGACAATTACCGAGCAAGCAAATAACGCTAGATCTGCCCGATCATAATTTTAAGAATATCGATATAGGCCGAGCGCTCTGACTCTAACTTATGCTAATACAAGTAAAAGCTCTTTGCAGTAGGCGCAGTTTTCATTCATAAGAGAAACTGTAACGATTTTACTTTTAATATTATAACTTAATACGAGTGTGTGAGAAAGACATTTTTATATGAGATTAATGTAATTATCGTTTTATTTGAATGATGCTACCGAATATAGAATAGTTTATATATATATATTAGAGTAACGGTTGCTCAATAGTGCGAGTTGTTCTCTGGCTACACAGCAACTGCTTCGTGCATAAGTCCGCGTTGACCTCTTGCCTCAACAACGCTAGCATGTTTTGACTATGAGCCCTGTCGACTCCTGCTTATGGGTTTAGCCAAGGAGGTACTATCGCTAAAGCGGGAACTCGGAGTCGCGGAGGCTCATAGTTAAAATAACCTGATGGTGCCAAGGCAAGAGACTTGTGCATAAGTGTTGCCGTCATCGAATATAATGTCTTCTTCACAATTGCGTTTTTTTCTTTTTTTTTTTCATTTTCAGCGACTTTCTCGAAAAGCGTAAAATAAGCGATAGGTAATACTTGACAAATGGACGCATGTATCTCAAGGTCATACCGGCATCCTCAACTGTCTGTCGAAACGTTAAAAAAAGAGAAAAATCGCTGAGGAAAGTGTATCGCCGGCTCCATTTCCGAATGAAAGCCAATCGTTCACGAGAAAGCGATAGCAACGGAAAGTCTAAACAGATACATTGAGTGACAGATCAAGGTGATATACGCATATGTACAGCTACAAGGTCACGGTGGAAAAAATTACTGCAGGCTCTACATATGTAAGGTGAGCGCAATGAGTTCGCGGACAATGCGTTTTCATTGGAAAAACAAGTGGAGAGCCGAGTATGGACTTGAAATGTTTCGATGCTATATTTGTATAAAACAAGTAAAATTTGGACTTTACAATTATGCCTCATTGTTTTATTTTTGTTTGCAGATAATAAATGTGTAGCAAACCAAAATTATGAATTTGCCATGTCGATTTTGTATGAACAATTAAGGTTATCAATGATTCTAATACTTTACATTGTAACTCAATGCCCAAAGAAAAAAATTGCAAATTTAAATTAATTATCAATAAAAATACAGAAAAAAAACTAGTTTTTACAGTTTTTGAAATCTGGTTTTTCTTCTTAATCAACCTCAAGTTTGACATTGCATTTACAAGATTATAGAATGACTCATGTAGATAAAAAACATCCGGAGTCGTAGCTAACATTAGCTCATTTCCTGTGGAAGAACATTCTAAGGATTAAGTTGATTACACTATATAATCATAGTGCGACACGTAAATAAAAAAAATAAAATAAAATCTGTCGAAACGCGTTCCATTGAAAAAAGGTAGCAAGGGCATGGTCAAACCTTTCATTCGTAATACTTTGCTTCACCCACGCCCTCAACAATTAACCTATTCACAAGCGAAAGAGACACGCGAAATATATCAATGACGTCGTGGTTGGCTAATTACTCGACTGCTGGTTGACACCCACGCGACGGCGGCGACGCCCACGCGGACTTCCTCGATAGATCTTTCCTCTTTACCTCGCTGCCTGCCTAAAAATGGATAATCGCGAGCCTATGCGAGAGCCAGATGCCATTACGACACGCGCCGCGGCCGATGATCCTTTCTCAAGAGCTGCCGTGGGTGGCTTGTGGAATTTATCGCGTGCGTGACTTGGAGCGATATCGCCAATTTCATCGTTGTCGCGCTCATTAAAGACAAGCCAATGTCAATGAGCACACAATTAAGGAATTGAGTCGCGACAACTGGGGCGCAAGCGGAAGATCGTGCAATGAGTCACGCGGCAATCTTTCAAAGCTAAACCACGCGCGAGTGCAGCGTCGAGAGTGCGCGCAATATAACGAACGACCTGTCTAATTTCAAATTCATCGCGAAGTAAACGAACGGTTACGCGCGTCGAATCAGCTCGAGCTGCATAATATATAAAGGCAGAAGCCATAAACCAGATGAAACTTCCCATTATATTCTAATGTTACGCACACACGCAGACAGAGCAAAGAAAACCACATCCTCGCGCGCTGCGCCACGTCTCAACAATATTTATAGCAAAGGATTTAACGGACAAGGCACATCTATCACCTTCTACGCGCGTCTATTTATAGAGTACGCGTGTATCCTTGGCTGGAAGAACTATCGCTACTTTTCTTTTCGCGCAAAATATATATGTTTGTGTGTGGATCAACCTTGTTTACATTACGTACGACCGACGACCGCAAATAAATCTCGCACTGCAAAACTCCACCTCTGGGGCTCGAGAGCTTCGATTACTTTCAACTTGCAGGCCACCTGTCGGCGATTTTCGCACGCCGATTTCCCATAGGAATGCGCGCACGATTTTGTATTTTCCTTTTGGGGGGAGCGGTCGAATGATCGTTGCGCAACATGCTCTTTTGTGTTTATGGACACGTGTCGGTCGAGAATTTTTCAAGTGGAATTTCGCCTTGGAACTCAGCTGTCCAGCCTGAGACGTGTGTACACGACTAGGAAAATGGTGCGCGCGCGAATAGGGCAATTTATAGGGTAAGCGATAAGATTGCTCTGCCATACGTCAATCCACATATTGCCTCGGTCAAATGTATATTTCAACGTCGATCGACAGATGAAAAAGTGGAAATAACCGAGATAATCGAGAACTCCACGGCTTATCTTTTACTGTTCTGGCAAGCTTGCTACTGGATCACATTGCACCGTGGGTCAATTCATCAAAGCGCAGTTAAGAGTCAGTTAGAACATTTTTCCCGAACATGCATAAAACGGCAAATAAAAAATTCACTCTCATCGAACATTCCTCGGCCATAAACATTTTCCCAGAAGCCGGACAAAAAAAAGGACAAGCCTGAACAACAAAACGCACTACATCGGTGTGCGAGAGAGAAAGGGAGAGGCATTTAGCGCCTCCGGTCGTATAGACACACCTTTGGCACATAATAAGCAACTCGAAATCTCAGAAACGTTATTACGCTCACATGCAAAGTCGATGATGACTTTTTTTTCATTGTCGTGAGATTTATTGGTCGCAGGGTTGATTTACGGCTGTGCGTTGATTATTTATCGCGTGAAATTTTTCATACGAGTCATTGGAAACATTTTTTTGTGGGCTCGACATAGTTTATTGTAATACTTTGCTTCGTATACAGTGATGGGACATTTATGGCAAGAATCTAAATTAATTTTATCGATTCTGTCTAGAAAGCATTAATTAAACGCGATAAAAGTTGTCTGGTATTAAAGGCCATTTCGGAAATTGTTTAAATAGTTTGCCCTTTTTAGGATATTGCTATAAATGCTATATTTTTCACCGTTATTGAAATGAATAATTATCCTAAGTTAATTAGTGTAGTCGTAAAAAAGGATTAAGACATTTTTACACGAGGAAGACGCATTATATCACTCAATTTTCATTTATATTGCAGAATCATCAAATCTAAACGTAACTACTCGAAGAAAACAAAAGTGTCGCACTACCACATATACATATTTTTTTCCTACAAACTATGACAAGTAATTATGAGTTCTATTCATAGTCGTGAATATACTCCAACTCCGACATGTATACGCGTATCTACAACGAAAACACAGTCATTTAACATTCTCGCCAAATCAGAGGAATCCGATAAAAAGAAGAAAAGAGACCGCATTCCTCGTCTGCTCCAAAACAAACCTACAATGCGAACACCACCATCGTCGCACACGAAGGAGAAAAATATACAGTTGGCTTGGCTCGTAATCAAAAATCCCGATCTTAATTAGAAACCCGTGGAAAAGCCACAATACACGCGCGCGCGTACGCAGGCAGTGTTAATTCAATAAAAGCCATGCACGCGCGCGAGCACACACGTACAAAACACTCTCGTAAGTTTTGTTCCCATGGAAGGTTATTGAGACGCGCGCGCGCCCGCCCGCGAGAGAGTACAAATGTATGTCACGAAAAATCGGTACGTACCTCGGCGAGCAGCCTGCACAGGGAGGACGATACTACGCATAATCCCGCCGAAGCCCAGCGTCGAAATCACTCGCGTGTATCATGTATATCTGTATTTGTCGCGCTTTTCGCACTCCTTTTGGCACACAAGCACGCACCAGCACCACGTCGTTAGGGAGCTGCGAATAGACGCAGCAACCGTGTTTATGTATACTCGAGACACGATGGTATTTATCTGTTATCGCGTCGATTGTGTATATCCTTTGGTGTGTGTCGCATACACACACGCACGCGCACACCTAACCTCGCACTTGCGACTTCCGCGGCGTTCTGACACGCAGCCGAGGATACGTACCGAGCGCGAGATTGTCGAGAAAAAAAGGAGACTTTAAAACAGGTGGGGATACACGGAAAGAGAGAGAGTTGTATGCGCGAAAGGTAGGGATATCTCAGTGACGGTCATGTTTCCTATCTCCTGCGCGATACCATGCAGTCTTATGTGGTATCCTTTTTCATGGTGCTGGACTAATCTACACGGCTTTGATTTGTTTATGAAGGCTACGCATTAGGAATTTGGACGGTTAGTAAATAATTAATGTGGTAATGTGATGAGGATCATTGTTAGAGGCATCCATGGGATTTTATTTCGTTTTGAACGATTTATACATATAATAATCATTTCTTGTTTATTTATTCGTGAAACTTTGTCATGATGTACACCAAAAAATATATTATTATGGAAGGAAACGGTCGTCTGTTTGCAGGCATGTATACGATATTAAACTTTTAGGTAGGTTTTACTCCAGTTCCATCATTACACCAGTTTTGTTTTTCATTTTTCCCTTGCTAATTATGAAAAACTTTGAGCCGCGCGTGATATCTTCAAATGATATCACAAAGTCAACGTAAACTTATAGAATAGGAATTAAATTTATATTACATCAATTTTAAAGTGAGCAAATATATAAAAAGAATATAACCCGTTGGACATACCTGTACAAGTATATTAAAAAAGCAATTATGCGTTTATGCGTGAGAAGATTTATTTGACCAAACTTTCTACTTATTATCTAATTATTAGACCGTTTTAACGACAAGAAAGGAAAATATTTAGCAATGAAGTCGTTAAGTAGTACCTGGCCGACTTAGTCAGCCGCCCTCAACAGTACAACCGATCGAATCAGTAGAATCAGACAGTTTAGTCAGCCACAAAATGGCATCTATTGGCGCGACGAAGTAGTATAACCAGCCGATCGATGACGGTCACGTGACCGTTCGCCAAAGAAGTCGCAGTCTCGGCAGCAAAGTGGAATACATACACTAAACGCATCAGGGGTTATCACCTTACTTACTGGCTATATGGTCAGCGGCCTTTCACGCAAGAAGACGAAAGTTTGTCAAGAGAGCGGGACATCACCTTTTCAACCAAACATATACCTCGTAATCCACTTTTTCACCTGCTCGTACACGCTGGTATGCGCTGGCTCTTTTTCTGGTCATTACGCGCCCTGAAAAATGTTATTTTGTTCGTTGTCATTTCGGTTTATTGCATGGTATTTCGAGTTTCCATTCATGAATTATTAAATTAAATGCAAAGTTGATTTCACTGATCTTATATGAAGTATGAATATAGAAAAGGAAAAATATTCATTAAATCACCTATACTTGTATAAGATATGATAAATACTACCTTGGTTTTGATGATTTTATTATTTTTATGATGTACTGTATCTCCTATGGTCATCTGATGTTGGAAAAATTCATTTCATAAAACATCGTCAACATATAGAAGTTAAAACTATGAATATTACAAATGGCAAAGACACGCAATACACTTTTTAAACCTTTACTTTAAAAAAAATCGTTTCAACTAAATACTACTTCTCAACAATAACTGCCTATTTCTTTGAAAGTCAACATCTAATACGTTTTACTGTAAAATTATTACGGATTTTAGAAATCGAGCGATGGAACGCACTATTCACGCAAATTGAATTGAAGTCTCATTTGCGTTTACATGAAGTCTAATTAAAGCCTTGTTTATACGTTAGTATAGAAAATCGAAATCAATTACCACACTTCCAAGTTTTTTATACTGCAAAAGTTTTACGCTCTGATTGACATTAATAAATTACGTGGGTTTCTTCTTGTAATTAATACTAGAAATTTCAATCTTCCGTAGGTCGCGCGATGCTCTATTAAACGCTGAAAATTTTCTGGATAATTATGTGGTTAAACGAAAAAAAAATATATTCCGCATGAATTAGCAGAAAAACTAACGACACATTTTTTTCCACTTTCGAAAATCCCAATAGGTTATTGCGCAACGCGCGATTGTGTATCCGCGAAGCGCGTGTCGGAATATTCATGAGCTTTTTTTTTGTCACGTTCGTGTGCGAAAACGGCATCTTGATCGATGAAACTGTGAGGGTGTCGATGGTCGCCAACGCGCGGATTGTTGATTGGGCGACAACTTCGGTTATGTTATTTTGCTTCTACAAAGAACTGGTATGTGTCTCATCCCACTTGTCGGTTCGCTTTTCTTTTCGCGCCTGAATAGGCGCGTTTCGTTTCAAAAGGCATTTTTCACGAATACCGATCCATTTACCACGAATACGCGCGATGAATTAATGTTCTTAGTTTTTACGACGTCTTTCTTTTTAATGATATACGTCAACCTATGACAATAATTTATTTGTATTGTTGTGATACCACACGTCGTAAAATACTACGATTCTGTCAAAAGAGCTTAACAGGCGCTTCAAAGTCATTAATGTTTAATTAAATCATTCATGAATCAAAGTCATTTTTTTAATTTACAATACATCTCTTTGGTATCAATCATTATCTTATGCTATTCACATTAATAAATTAATTATATTTTTAATTCTTAAATTGTATAACCTATTATCATTTCATATCTTTCAATATTATAATTGAAGTAAAAATATATATATTATAAGTTAGCGAATTCAAAATAAAAATTGTGAAAGGTTTGCCTTATTGTATGAATGATTGGTAGGAAATTAACATTGCAATTATTGAGATTATTCAAGTATTTTAAACGAAATATTCGATTCAAACGAATACTATCGGCTGAATAAAATATGATGAAAGATATTTATAGAAATAGTTTAAGGAACTTTCCCATAAACAATAAATGTTAAAAAATTTAATCTTTTTCTGAACAAAGCACATTTATATATGATAATTGCAAATATTATCTATCCTCTGACAAAACAACAAATTTTAGAGAGCGGAAGAAAATAACAGTAAAAGTTTTCAGCAATTCAGTATTTGCATCTTCAGGATCATCAATAGGTTTTCACGTTTTGTTTCAAAAAATATCCCGTTTTTAAATTAAAAAGAAAAGAAAATTAATCGTGCCACTACTAACAATAAGGTAACTATAGCGTAATCTATCGAGAAAATATTGTAGAGACGTAATTGCATCTAGATAAATATTACCAACGAAGATAGAGGCTTATAGAAGGACAGGTCTTATGGAGGTTCACTCACAATCAGTCAATCGAGACTAGAATAGTATTCGTTGCTCAGTCAAGTGTGTAGCGGCTGCCTAACAAGTAACGCGGCCCGTAGCATTGGTAACTCATGTTGCTATGAAATGGCGCCACTGTCGCCGCCTAAAAAAGCTATTGTATGTGATGTATATAATTTTTCGGAGCGCTTGGTCCAGCTTGACTAATTAACATTTCGTTGCGTTATCTTCGTTGCTAACAGCGACCTCCCCCCCCCCCGCTCCAGCCTTTATAATTAATGCTAAATTAAATATAAATATACCAATCGAAAGATTTAGATTTGCTCTGTACATCTGGGTTAGAGTTATTTTCCTATTCTTAGCTTCTATGTAAAAAAATAATAAAGACAATAATTTTCCCAACGATTTTAAACATCTCTATCTTTTGCATTAAATGGAAATTCTAAATGTAATAAATTATAAAACATTACCCCGAGCTGATTTGATTTGCTCATTTGACTTTAAAAGTAATCAATAAGTATATTATAAATCTAAAAAATTATAATCGACACTAGCATTTCGTGCACGCGCATGCTCCCTATAGTTCGCTTTGTACGAATACTGTTTCTACGCGATATCATTCAACCATTATTTTGAAATGTGTTTTATTGAACATGAGGGAATGCAACAACGTTTTAATTGAACATATAAAATAAAATAACATTTACTAAAAACTTAAATATTATTGACACGATAGTTTTCTACCAAGTAATTAATTATGAAATCTAATTGTCACGGAAAATTCCACACGTTATGAATATATGTAAATCTAAATGTTTTTCAAATATTTAAAAGTATTTATTATTGTACATAACCAAATTATTATTTTATAGGAAACATGTACAAAATATATTACATAATTTGATTGTACATAAATTTTTTTTAGTAGTAATTATGTTCACAAATTCTACTCATGATTTTTTTATATCAATAATAAAAAATATTATAGAATCATATTATGGAATAATATTTTTCATTATTTAGTTTAATGACCCAATTGAATTGAATTAACAATTTTCGAAAGTAGTTGTATTTTTATAATTCAAAAACGAGAGAAAATGATCTTTTACGCGAAGGTACTTCTTCACTATTTTGTTGAAAATAATTTGTTAAAAAATTATTTACTAACATTCTAGTAGACTAACCTTTTTGATGCCAGGTAAAAAAATTGTTACTGGAAACGGCCACTCGAGTGCTGAGATCCCTGCTATCGGCCTTTTTTTAACTGTGTATTTAAAAAAGCCAATTAACCGTATACTAAAATTTTTCTAGGTTGTATTGGATTTAATTAAAACCAATTGCTTCGGTATGGCAAAAGAATCATTTTCGATTTTGAATTGTGAAAATCGGCCTACTTTAATCAAAGTTTATCAGAGTCTGCCAATCAGCATGGTAATAAGAAAGCTCAAAATCGAGCCGAGAAGTGTTTTCTCAAGTGCAGCTTTCTCTTGTCGCTTCCCGGCTACAAAACCGTCTTTCTAGATCATACGTGCGCCATCCCACGGTCAACGAGGAACTACAAGTCCTTATACATTGACCTGACCTTCTATAAGTGCTTATCTTTACTGGTATTACATACGACGCTTTTCTTTTGACAAATCCCTGATGTTTCAATCAGAACAGCTTTTAAAAAGAATTACATCTCACAATTGATTATACTTATTTCAACGAACATCGAAGTTGGTATAAGCTACCTATGTGTTACGTTTGAGCACATTATGAAAGCGCAAGAAGACAAAAAATTTACCCTTTTCAGAATCACCCCCGGCAGCCTTGAACTTAGTAGATGTATAACAACGGCGCGATAAAAAAGCTATTACGTCAGGGGAAAGATTACACACGACCGCGCCTTTTTTTGCGATTAAGTTGGCAGCTCTCCCACGCGCGCGGCACTGGCGGCTTCCTAATCTCTCACATTCGACGTCCCATGCCAAGCAGCAGTCAACCTGCAGTCAACCACGTGTTTTCTGCGAAGGAAGACGCGAATCAACACTTTAGTTTTTTCTTAGATTCCTTCCGCATTGTTCCGCGTCGTTGAAAATGAAGTATATCCTCGTGACTGGTGGTGTGATAAGTGGAGTTGGCAAAGGTGTGATTGCTAGTAGCTTTGGCACCATTCTTAAATCATGCGGCATCCATGTAACTTCCATTAAGATCGACCCCTATATCAATATCGACGCTGGCACGTTTTCCCCTTACGAACATGGTGAAGTCTATGTTCTCGACGATGGTGGTGAAGTCGACCTTGATCTTGGCAACTACGAGAGATTCCTTGATGTTGTTCTTCACAAGGATAATAACATAACTACGGGTAAGTAATGTTCATAGAGTTTGCATAGCGTTTGTAACAGATAGACGAAGCACATGTTCTTTTTCTTTTATTTTTAATGGCGCATTTACTACGTCTTGAGTGACAAATAATTTAATTACGTCTTATAGCATTTTTGTGTGTTGGAGCACTGCCAAATGATTTAACAGCACTTTAATAGTATTATCGAACGAAAAAGAATATGATAAATTTAGGAAAGTGCAGGAAGAGTCGCGTCTACTATCACATTATTCCAAAATGATGAAAAAAATTTTAAAAATAATGAAAAAAAATTAATTATGAAATAGCTTCAAATATCGGCGAAAAAATGCTGAATGTCGGATTTTCGCAGCTCTTAGTAAAAAGTTTTAGATCACTATATAAATTTGACATTTTAAAGCAGTAACATATATATTACTTCTTGTTCTCTATTTTTAACTTTTTCAAGGTTTTATATATTTATTAGCTGCGCATATATTTGATCAAGACTGTTAAAACAAATTTAGATAGATATACTTCAACATTGATATTAATTAAGTGTATTATTGTGTAGGAAAAATCTATGAACATGTGATCAAGAAAGAACGTAAGGGTGATTATTTAGGCAAAACAGTCCAAGTGGTGCCACACATAACTGATGCAATTCAAGAATGGGTTGAAAGAGTTGCCAAGCAGCCAGTGACCACTGATGGAAAAGTACCAGAAGTCTGCATAATAGAATTAGGAGGAACCATAGGTGACATAGAAGGAATGCCGTTTGTGGAAGCTTTTCGTCAATTTCAATTTAGAGTTAAGAGAGAAAACTTCTGTGTAGCTCATGTCTCACTTGTGCCATCTCCAAAAGCAACAGGAGAACCAAAAACAAAACCTACACAATCAAGTGTCAGAGAATTAAGAGGTCTAGGTCTATCTCCAGATCTTATCATTTGTAGATCTGAAAAACCAATCAATGATCAAATTAAAGATAAGATCTCCAATTTCTGTCATGTTGGACCTGAACAAGTCATTACCATTCATGATCTTTCTTCCATTTACCGAGTTCCTCTCTTGATGGAGAGTCAGGGTATTATAGAATTCTTGGATGACAGACTTAAGTTAAATATTATATTACCTCTCCCTGTGACGTACATGAACACATGGAGAAATCTTGCTGAGCGTGTTGATCAGTTATATAAAGGTATGTTGGATACATTTTTTAAACATCAAATCTGAAAAATCTTATTGTTATGTTTAATGGAATCTTTTCTTTCTGCAGTTGTGACAATTGGCTTAGTTGGCAAATATACCAAACTAGAAGATGCATATGCTTCTGTAATAAAATCCTTACAACATGCCTCAATCAAAGCAAGTTATAAATTGGATTTAAAATTCATTGATGCAGTGAATTTAGAACCAGAAACAAAGAATATAGATGCAGTTGCATATCACGAAGCATGGCGAGAACTTTGTAGCGTTGATGGTATTATAGTTCCAGGGGGCTTTGGCCAGAGAGGAATCAATGGAATGATTGAAGCTTGCAAATGGTGTAGAGAACATAATAAACCTCTACTAGGCATTTGTTTAGGTCTTCAAGTTGCAGTCATAGAATATGCTAGAAATGTATTAAATTTAGAGGATGCCAATAGTATAGAGTTTGATCGAGACTGTAAAAATCCAGTAGTTATTGATATGCCAGAACATAATCAAGGTCATATGGGTGGTACCATGAGATTGGGTAAGAGACCAACAAGATTTGTCAGCCCAAATTCCATTCTAAAACAATTATATGGAAATTCATCAATTATTTATGAGAGACATAGACACAGGTATGAAGTCAATCCAAAATATATCACAGACTTAGAGGCATCAGGCCTGAAATTTGTTGGCCATGACGAAGAAAATATTCGAATGGAAATAATAGAACTGGAAAATCATAACTATTATGTTGGAACTCAATTTCATCCTGAATATTTGACAAGGCCAATGGTGCCCTCACCTCCATTCTTAGGTTTGATTTTAGCTAGTGTAGGAAAATTGAAGCCTTACTTAGAAAAAGGTTGTAATTTGTCACCATCACAATTGAGTGACAATGATTCAGATGAAGGATCTACAATAGAATTTGTAAAACAAAATCCACAATTGATTGTGCCTACAAAAACATCAATAGTAGTAAAAAAGTAGAGATAGAATAAGTAGGACTAATTGTTTTTATATTTTTTTATTACTACAGTGTGTTTAGTTACATTTTATATTTTATTATCGTACATTTAAAATTTTGAAAATGCAGTTAGATAGTTTGAAACATTTTTTAAATAAACTATTTTGTGATAAATCAAGAATTTTATACTACTTTTTGATAACTATAAAATATCAATCTACAGTGACAGTGTTAATATGTATTTATACAAATATAAAGAGTTTGACATATAAATATTTTAAGACCAAATATTTGTTTGACTAAAAGAATTACATTTTATTACAATTTTCATATAAAGCCAAGTACTTATAAAACCGATAATATATCAGAATGAGCAAATGTAAAATTAATAAAAAATTTTTTCTTAAGATTTGTAAATATTTGATTTTTTTGTTAAATTCCAATTAAAATATTTAATATAGAAAAAATTGCAATTAATATTATCATTATTTTTATACATTGAATGATATTGCTCTATGATAAGCATGCATACTTATTAGTAACCATTTATATAGTTTTTCTGTATACATGCAGTATTAAACAATGTAATAATAAGAAGTTTCTATATTTTTACATATATACTATTCAATGCAGGAAAAAATTTAAGATTGTAGAGCTTGAGCACAGAGTACGTCAGCACGTGGGTTGAAACTATATTGAAAAGTAATGGTAAACAACACGCGTGTGAAGTAACCTAACCTCAAAACTGTTACGCTCAACAGTCATTTTCCATATCATGCCGGTGGTACGTGATATTCTGTCTAATACTGATAAAAGTACTTTTTTATCCACACTTTGTGAATAATTTTTCATTAAAAGACCATAAGGCATTGTGTAGTAACATATATGCCTTAGACAATCAGTAAAAAGAGTTTTACACGTTATGAAATTGTAATTTGAGGTTGACTTTGCCAAAAGATTTATTTTATAATAAATAATAAGTTTATTAATGCTCTGTGAATAAAGTAAAAATGAATGAAGTAATACATTGGTGGAATATTACAAAATGTTTGTCAAAATTCGACGGAAAAGGAGCTAATAGCTATAGAATGTACTTTGTGTAAGTTTATTAATTAAACATTTTTTTTACTTTACAAATAAGCTGTAGTTATTTCGTTATATTTCATATTAGAGAACGCTGTAGACGAATGTCTCAAGAACTAGAACTACCAAAAAAAATTTTTGGACCATCAGTTATGTGTTCGCACTGTGGTTCTCTTTGGTCAAAAAATGAATCTCAGACTAGAATTAAACCAGCTAACGCTTGCTCAAAATCAGTAAAACAAATAATTAGGTCAAGTGCTGAAGACAATAGACTATCCAGGTTTAGAGCGACTTTACTAAAGAAAAGCTTAAAAAACAGGATGAACAAAGTGGTGAAAAAGTGTTCAGTATGTTCTAAAGATACTGAAATCAGTATTACTAAACCAAAAAGGCCAAAGCTTGTTGAAGAAAGTACAGAAAAAAATGACAACACAGCTCATCATAAGAAAAAAAAAAAGAAAGTAAAAGATAAAAGTGCTGGTTTAGACTTATCGGGTTTCAATACACCCGATGCAAGAGAGAAAAAAAAAATACCTTTGGTTTCAACACCTATTACAGTAAAAGTAAAAAAACCATACAAAAGAGAAATAACACCACTACAAAAAGTGAAAAAATTAAATATAAATAAATTAAATAATATTCTAAACAACAGTAAAGCTAAAAAATCAAAGAGTAGTCTAAGCAATTTTCTTGAAGAACTTTATTAACTAAGAAAAAGGTCAATGCAGTATATATCTACAAATTGATGTGGTATGTATCTTAAAATTACTATCTTATTTTTAATACAATAAATAAATGACAAGTTTGATCAATATCACGAAACTTGAAACGCCCATCAAATGATTTCTTCTGTCTTGCTTCTCTTAATCCAATGGAATTTCTTTTCTTACAATCTGGAAGTAGAGCACAATAATGATTCTGTTAATAAGAATGTTATTCACAAAACGAATTTAGTTACTCAGTTCCAATACAAGCAATTGTTAAAAGCTTTCGAGTAGTTTAATGAAGCAAGATACTAAATGAATTGCAGAGATGATTTCATTTGAAACATGAAACAAATGAATGAAAAAATGATAAAGAATAACTTTACAAACAATTATGATGAAATGTTCGTCTTAGTCAATTTTTCTCATCATTTGATTAACAAAAAAGTTAAGTATAATCAAAATTGTGAAAAAAACTAAAATGAATAATTTCAGAGAAAGAGAAATCAAGCCGTTCATGGAGAAGACGTGGCTTGAAGAGGATAACAAGGACAAAAAAAGAAGCAATGAGACAGTGAGGGATCACCTGAATGCATGCGTCGAGGTAATCTTGCTCGGTCATGCGTTGCAGCTTGGTAGGCGGCACTTTTCCCCGACGGCGCAACTCCTGCCTGGCGTCGTTCAGATCGAAGATCGCCACAGGGTCGATCCTGTGCTTGAGCACCAAGCTCGCCAGGTACTCGACGTAATGCTGCCTACCGGGAAAAAGCAACGCACAAACCCAATTTTAATAAAAACGGTTCGCAATTACCTCGATTAAATCGTCACGGTATTCGTGCAGATCGCGACCGTACCAATTGGCCGGTAACTTCAAACCCGCACGAAGTACACATGCCTCGAGGTCATCGATTGTCAGCAAAGCTAATGGTTCGAGATGGGACTCGCGCACCTTGCGCACCAGGTACTCGATATAGTGGATTCTGAGTTTTACCATTCAAAAAAGCATTTTTATCGTTTCAATGAATTATTGATGACTTAACTATGACATTATACTGACGTTTGAAAATCTTTGTTTTATTTGACAAATGAGCTTTTATTTTTATAAAATGATTATGAACTTTCGGACGTCGCTTGATGTCTAATTAAAGTTCTCTGGTAAATCATGAAATTATTTTTTCCACCAGAACTGTAAATTGTTATCCGAAAATTTACAATGTATGTATTATGAAAAAGAGGAATTTAATTTTGTATTTATACAATAAGAAACAATCTATATTTGTTGACAAGACTTTCAAAATAAATATTATTTTGTTTTTTTGTTATTCCTAAAAGAATGTAATTTACCTGCACAGTCCAGCATGTCCCTCGATAACGTCGGAATTGCAAACGGCGTCAACAACACCAGTAGGAGTTTCCTTTTGTAGCTGCACTTTACACTTTCGAAAACCATAGATACCTTCCGTGTCGTACTCCACGCTATTCTCCTTTAGTAGCTGTTGAAGTTGCAAAGGTTCTTTGTCACGCAAGTAGAAGAGGCAATTGCGTGGATGATGCGCGTGCAGACCGAGTTTCGCACAATATGGGCTCACTCCACATTTGGCACCCATAACGAACTTCATACCGCATCCACAACAGAACTCGTACTTACACTGGCTGCACGTAAAGTGCATGCAACCTATGAATTATATAGTGATAGATGGATAGAATTTTTAGGGGCTATTTAACGTATGAAAGAAAATAAATAAAGAAGTGCCGAAGATAACTGCGGTAAAGTAAAGCTTGCTCTACGTATCGATAAACGCTGCTTTGTTTAAATACAATTGTATACCTCCACGTGATAAGGAATATCGAAATTTGCACTTCGGACAATCGATTCCGTTATCAGCCAAGTGTTGAGCTAATCCTTTGGCCTGGTTATCGGGATCGTTCTCGTCTTTCCACGCGGCAAACTGCTCGCAACTGATGCCTTCATGTTGCTTTTCCCACTTGACACAAAATCAAATCAGTTTATTTATTGGTTTCACGTCGATCGACTTCTGACTAAATCAATATCTCAAGTATTTACCGGTCTTCTACAAAATGCGCACGTAACAGATCGGCAGTCAGGACAAATCAATCGTTTCGCATTTGGATCCGCATAGAATCCACTTGAACACTAATAACAGAGCAAGCGTAGAGTTGACAATGGTTTTCCAACGTTATTTTAACTTTAAGTATTGTTGCAAATTATTCAATTACCTGAACGCACCACTTGAAATTGGGATCCTGCATGAGCGTGCGATCTCTGAGTTTCCTTTGAAACAACTCATGGATAGGTGAGTCAAGAAGCGTCTTCATTTGTATGTCAAGTATACTGAAATACTCCAGCACTTCGTCCTCGGTAGCATCGATCAAGTTTGGCTGCTTACAAAATGGACACACCGCATCCATAATGTTGCGGTCGCTTATTTGGATGGTAAAATAGTTTTTTGCGCATTCGTTACAGCAGCGGTGCGTGCATTTCAGCATCGATATCATCTGTCGAGTTATTTCTCGTCAATTTAATATCGCAACAAAGGTATCAAGTGGATGGGTACGAATCGTATACCTGACTCATGGCGAATCGGCCTGTGCACAGCTCGCACTCCTGTTGTAGAAAAGCGAGAGCGGCCTCAACGCTGGTACACTGCTTTGCCGCGTGCAACGACTCCTCGTCGGTGAATTTGAAAGATAATAGGCTTGCCGCGATTTCAGCTTCCTCGTAGCTCGATGCTCTACCTTCGGCTAACAGTCGTCGGGCGACTCTCTGTGAAGTCGAGATTACTCCTGTCAAATATCGACTTTGAAGAAATGTTTGATTTGAAGTAGGAGCAAGTAAAAAATTAAGGATGTTCTATACGTATTCAGTGCTAGGAAAATTACAAACTGCGGTTTATGCGATCTTTTAATCAAGTTTACATTTAATTGGAACTTGGATTTTATAACACTATTATTGACCGGATTGATTATAAATATTATCGAATAATTTTGTGACATTTGCTTGATACATTGGGAATGAGAATGGGTATTCCTAATTTTGAATCGGGATGTATAATATACGTATGATGATAACGACACCAATTGCATACGATCAGGATGAACACTAGTGACAGATGCGAGCTTCAAATTAAAAAAATATGCATGAGATGGACTAATGTAGTGAAGATGTGGAACATGCGGTGACAATGGTGACAAACTCAAAAAAGACAAAGAAAATAAAGATGCACCAACGTCTATAATCGAGCCCTTTGCCTTGAGACGCGTTTATTATTCCAATGAATATTTAGGAGATTGTTTTTACTTTGAAGCTCAACGAAAATGATACACTTGCTTGTATTATAATCTATAATACTTATGCAAATGTGTGACAGAGTTTTCTGAATCATTTTCGTAGTGTGGTTTCTCAAAGAATCAGTGGTAAATGTACGATGAACGATAGCATTAATTAATTCGTTAGTTGAGAAAGATACTCACCAAAAAGAAAAGAAGATTAATGAATATTAATTTTTAATGACAATAAATGATCAGTGAAATTAATCGTTCTTAATCTATTAAAATACGCAACAGGCTCAAGTCAAAACCAAGGATCAAAGGACAATTTGCTTTTGCTGCTTGTTTTCTTCCCATCTTTATAGATCGCTGTGTTATATGCGCATGAGCGTTACTTGCGAGCAGCAAAAGGGCGCTGTTATTGGCTTATTATCGAGCTCTTTTTGTAGACATTGGTCAGCCAGGATTTTTGCATCTTATTTGGAAATTTCGCGAACTACTGACCTCCCGTTCATTCATGGGGGTCGACTCCTGTTTTGGCTCCTTGTCCGTCTTTTTATTGTCTCTCCTGTAACGCTGTCGTGGCTTTTTTTCACCCTCGAATTGCTCGATAAAACTCGCTACCAAAGAGAAACGTTTCTTCGGTTTTGGAGGGCTGTTGTTTGAATCGACTGTTTCTGACTTTGAGTGAACGACTTTTGGTTTCTCTGAATTGGCAGAATTAGCGCTTGTTTCTTTTGGATCTTCAACTAGCTCACCCGTTGAATCCAGTTCTGTACTTACTGTCGCAGGTAATATATGTTCTTCTTCGGGTTCAATTTTTTTTACTCCGTTTTGTTCTTCGGCTTCTTCTTCACGTTTTTGAAGTTCTGTAGTTAATTCGTTCACTGGCTCAATTTTATTTTCCTCCGAATCCGAATTGTAATCAGATAATTCAGCTTTGATTCGATTTAAAGTTTTTTCAAGCATTTTCTCTACATCCGCTGAATCGTGAGATAACGAACTGATTTCTTCTTCGTCCGCGCTTATTTCTTCAACATCATCTGTGTCGGCGTTGTAACTGACTTCTACTATGTCTTCTGTATTTCCGCTTGTACTTTCTTCAGTTTCTTCTTCTACTTCTACTTTTTTTTCAATCTCTTCTTTGCCAGAAGCCTTGCTGGAATCAGTGACTTCGTTTTCGGTCACTTCTATTTCTGATTCACTTCCTTCTAAATCACTTTCTTCGATTTCCTCTGATTCGCTTTTCCCAGATTCTTCTTCTACTTCATCATTTTCTTTTTTTTCAGATTTTCTTCCTTGGATATTATCTATTTCTTCCTCGTTTGGCCCTTCGTTTTCTTTACTTGTTTTGCCTTTTATTCCTTCATTTTTGTTCTTAACATTTTCTAAATTTTCTGTTTCCATACGAATTAAAATTTCTCCTTCTTGTTCACTATGTTTTCCAATATCACTTGCATTTCTCTCTTCCTTTTTTAAATTTATCGTTGCTGCGTTTACATTTGTTCCATTAATATTTTGCACAAGAATTTCCTTGTTTTTTTTTTCATTAGATTCATCTTCCATGGGTATATTAAACTGTTGATTGGAAGGTGGCATATCATTTTGTTCAACTAGTTCTTCCATTTTCATATTTTTATTAACTTTTATACTAGTATTAGTATCAACCACATTGTCAATTTTGGAATGTATACTTAAATTTGAGTTTTTTTGAGTCTCTTCTTTTACTTCAGGTACTATATCAATTTTACCGAAACAGATATCTTCGCACGTATCTTCTTTATCATCATAGGCATCTTCACAAGATATATTGCAAGAATCTATCAGATCTTTATAGGTGGTTCTTTCAAGTGTTTCAGAATTTTTCGAATTTTTATGTTCAATTACCTGATCATCGAACTTTTCAGTTTCGCAAGTTTTTTTTGATGTATTATTTATAGGTTGTCGGGTTTGTGTGAATTTTTTAAACAAGCTTGTTTCACAAGATTTGAATATAATATTTGATGGTTTAATTATATTCGTATCCAATGGAGTCTGTAAAGTAATTGAAATATTTTGCGCGGGAATCCGTCTCAAACCTTTAAATACTGGTATTTTTGAAGGGTACGTGACTTCAGGGCGCTTATAAACCTGTTTTTTAAGATTTTGCGTTTTATTATTTGCATTTATAGGTTTTACCGGATTCTGAACTAATGAATGAACAATTTTATTTGGTTGAACAGGGAATTTTTGGTTGACTTGTGTTCTAAAGATCATGACATTATTTGTTTTGCTTCTGGAATCGTTTCTCACATTACCATTTTGAACTCCAGGGGTCCTCGTTGATAACTTGTTTCTATCAATGAGCGGCTTGAATGGGGATAATCGAGAAATCGGTTTATTTTGAATACTTAAAATTTTAGGAGGATTGATAGATTTTGACGGACCATTTCTAGTTACAGTAGGTATTTTTTTCAAATATTTTACAGGTGATCTTCGGCCTACTGCTAACTTTTTCATCGGAGATTTAGGTCTAGGTTTGTTCAATTGCTTCTGCGAATTTAATTGTCTAGAAACTTGAGGCCTCGGTATATGTTTTTGTGTTTTTGTAATTAAAGGTGCCGTTCTATCCACCTTTTTATTTGAAGACTCACTTTCAACTATTTTATTGGCAGTTACAACGTTTTGAACAAGCTTATCTTTCAGCCGATCATTTTCAATATTTTTTAGTAGTTTCTCATCTGGTTTTATTTCTAGACAGATGTCTTCTCTTGCATCTACAAATTCTAAATCACAACTATCACTCTTAGCAAGGGAGTTCAATACTTTATCTATTACAGATGGATCATTCTGAATTTCAGACATTGCAGCGATTGATATCGGAATTTCATTTTCCTTTTTCGTTTCAATAGGTATCATTATTTCCTTCCCTAACTCTGCAGTGCAAATTGATTCAAAGTGAGATTCTGATTTCGAATAATTTTTCATTTCTTCCAAGCTCAAAATTTGTGGAACAGTTGTACACCTTGATAGTTCGTCACTATTCTTTAAATTTAAACCATTAGAACATTCTACATCTTGTGCATCAGTTTCTTGTTTCGCATTTCCTAACGTTAGCTGCATTCCGCTTGTCGCAACTGAATCTGAAACAAGATCCAATGAAAGTGAAGTTTCCCCAGAACTTGACTCGTTATTAAAATTGTCACTCGACTGTGTATTTGAATTCGCCAAACACGAAACAACGGTAAAATCAGTCGTACGTTTCTTTTCCGTTACAGATAATTCATTGCAATTTTTTTCGAAATCTGACTGTTTACTCTCCGCCTGATCCTGTATATCTATACTGTTTTCCTGAAGCGTACTTTTACTTTCAACATCAATTTTATTATTTACTTTTTTGTCATCATTCGAACTTAATTGAATAACTTTTGATAAAATGTGTATTAAGCTTTCACTGGACGATGACTTTAGCGGTGACAGTATTAGTACAGCGTTAGTTGTGATGATGTCATCGGATGAATGATGTGAGCTCAATATCTTACTGACAGACGAGTCCTCTTCGTCAATTATATTATCATTGGCATTATCTTCCATAGCTTGCTGCAAGCTTATGGTTGCCAAATCTATCAAACTGTTGTCTTCACGAACTGTACAAAATTCCTCAGATGATGAAGTATCATCTATACTCTGATTCAAATTATCGAAGCTTTTTAAAGATTCCTCGGATATGGAATTTGTAATGCAATGACTTTGTGGAACGGGAGATAGAAAATTAGAATCAATGAGATTACTGTCAGAAGTGATATTGATAGTGTCCCGCATGTTTTCTATTTCTGTTTGATCAGTCGACAAATTTAAGACGGAATTAGATATTTCTATATAAGCCGTGCTCGTACATACCACTTTTATTGATGTGTCTGGTGCTAGTTCTTGATCGATTGGTGTTAGAAGTGCATTCTTGTGTCCTTCATTTTTCAAGTCAGAGCCAAGTTGGTTTGTTGTTTCTTGAGCAAAGATATGATTTGTTTTTTCATCGATGGATGAAGCTTTTAAAGTTTCAGAAAATATAGGTTCAATTTTGGTATTAGATTCTATCGTAGCATCAATTTCTGATTCAATGTGTTTTTTCCATTTATTATTAGACTCACCTGCAGAGATAGTGGTATTTTCTTTAATGGTATTATTGACTAAGTACGGTAAATCTGCTGTCAAATTTTCAGATTTTTGAAGTTCACTATTTTTTGTAGTGGCAATATTAACCGAAAAATCAACATTACTAGAAATAAATTGATCCTTGTTTAGTGGATTTGTTGCCACTTCCTCTGAATTATTTTTCAATTCCAAATACTCTCTAGACGTAGCTGTACTATTATTTTGATTACCTCCCTGTACCTTATTATGCGTATCATAATCGACAACAATTTCATTCTCAGTTACTTGATTAGATGAATCAGATTTTTGTATGTCTTCATTTCTATTTTCATCGTCAACTATTATGCTTTGTTTATTTTTTGTTTCTAGTGCTTGAGAAAACGCTTCTTTTTCAACTTCTATTGACATAATCATTGGATCACTCAAATTATTCGCGCTGGTGTTTCTCATTTGTAACTGATTACTTACATTTAATTTGATATCGCTGCTACTAGTGTCTTCATCTGAAAATTTTTTAATCTCTTTTGATATCATCGTTAGATCGTTTGTAATATTTGTACAAGCGCTTATCTTTGAACTTTTCATATTTATTTTAATACCACTGCTATCAGTGTTTTCATCGAAAGATTTTGTTTCTAATTTTTGCACAGTAGACGGTTCTTTATCAATTTCTTCTGGCATCGTCGTTTGAATATTTACATTGTCTGCACTAGTGTTTTCATCTGGAAGGTTGGGTGCTAACATTCCTAGTGCCGCTGTTATTTGACCAAGTAGTCCTTCTGGTAACATCTTCATTGCTGTCATCAATTGTTGTACTGCTTCAGGTTTATCCGTTTTATTTTCAGAGTCATTAGAATATTCATTTTCTATAGATTTATTTAATCTTGATGTTGGTTGAGAGTTATCGGTTAGGATGGTTTCCATAGAATTATCAGATGTAATAATTTCGTCTTTTACATTTGCATAATTTGAGATTTCTGTAACAATATCACTTTTATTGATGGATAACTCATCTTCTTTTCCAATTACATTTACTTCAATCTTATTACTCTCTTCTCTTTCATTAATGGTTTCACTAAACACCTCTTCACTATCATTTTTTATTTCTTTGTTATTGGCTTCCTTCAAATCCCCAACTACAGGCGTTACTACCTGATTAGGTATAATAATTTTCATAGGATCATAAGTTTTTATATCTCGATTTATATTATTTCCGTTTGTTTTATTATGACCTGACGGTGATTCAGCAGGTAACATCTCTCGATTTTCAATAGCAAGACACTGATTTGTATTATTGTCATTAATGTTAATTGGTATATTCGTAACTTCTTCATTATTTCTGATGGATGTAGATTTTAATTTGCTTTGCACGTTCTCTTTTTTTGATGTATTAGCTTCTACTATCTCTTGTAAAACATTCTGTGTTTCGCTCATTTTTTCTAATTCAACATCTTTATCTTGCTTAGCTTTGGTATCTTTCATCTCTTCAGCTTCCTTTTGCATCTTAATATCATCTTCCATGTCTTTTTCAGCAAACTTCAACAACTCCTTTTCTAATTTAATGGAAGCTCCTCTTAGCATTTCTATCTCGGTGCGAAGTTCCGGCGATTGAGCGATTGTCCGTACCACCACGTCCGGCTGTTGACCCTCATGTTCCAAATTAGCAGTGAGTTCACGCAGCGCGGCGAGTTGCCGCTGGAAGTCAGTGTGTATGTCTGTCGTGCCTGTGTTATTTACCTGATTTTTCGCCTCTATGTCCTCTTGTTCTTGATGCTTTTGCTGTATTTTCCGTTGATTCATAATCGTGGAGTCGTCAACTTTCGTTCTCACTGAAATTTATGAGTCGGAAAATTAGCTTTGAGAAATCGAAATATCGAATATTATGTACGCAACCTAATGGTGCAGCTTCTTCATTCTCCACTCCGGTAGGTGGTCCCCATATTCTCATGAGAAACGGCTTCAACTGATCCTTTTGTAGTTCGAGTAACGAATCTTCTTCATTGCCAGCATTGTTATCGAGGGCGGCAATGACGCTGTTAATAGTAAAGTTTCCCTTTGCCATGATATTTTGACACTAAAATGAAAGCTCTCCTTTTGAAAATTCTAAATCGTTTATCATCCGTTTATGTCGAATCATATAAGATTAGCAAACCTTTCTCTGGCGCAACTGAATAGCACTCGCAACCGCAATCCACATATCTCCTTTGGCCAGCCTCAGAACCTCCTTAGCTTCTATGTCACTGACATGCCCTATGCCGCTGCCTTCACTCAGATCTTTGCCACGAGTTGTGGCAAGTATCTGTACAGTTTCGACGAGATTAGGCCACTGAGTACGTAGCCAGTCTAGTGGATTGTTCGGATCTTGTACCAATGCAACTTGAATGTCATCAGCTGAAAAGCCTCGATGTTCGGCTTCACGCATCACTTCCACTAGCTCCAGACCCTGACGAAGAATTGAGCCACATGGAGGTGGCTCGTAACGAGGCTGACTTGGCTCCTACAATAAGATAGAAGATTTCGTATCGTTTACGAGTTTCTTGATTAAGCGTACAGTACAACGTGAATGAAGTAGACAAAAACAATTTAGTAGAGTAGGATTTCATGAAGTATATCTTCGCACGCACATAAACATACACTCAATGCTGCTAATGAGTGATTAGATGATTCAATAGTAATGAAAATATCAAAATGAAAATTGCTTTATGCTGAAGAGAAATGGAATTTCTATTGATGGGTCAAACCTAATGATAGAAAATTATTACTAGGTGATTAGTGCACAACGCTGTAATACGTCATAATTTATTACATAAGTGAGATAGTTAATGGAATCAATATAGAAAAAAGCGTATATTAAGCTGAAACTAAAAATAACAGAAGCAACACAAGTGAAAATAATATATCTGCTAATAAGCCGCGAAAGTCGTTTGATCGTTGCTGATTTTACCCTGGAACGATAATAATGATGCGGCGAGGTGAGTGAATTCCTTCGGACCCTTTCCTTCCTCAAACTGCCGCGCGATCTGCCATTGTAAATGTCTGGACTGCTCGGGAATCTACCATCCTAAAACACACGCTCGAAACCGATTCGTAAACGAGACTCGCTTAGCCTCTCGGCTAAGAACAAATAGACTTGATGTAAATCTATGTATCACGAAATAGCCTGCAATTACGATGGTTCATCTGTCGATTGATAACATCGTGCTAAAAATCAATTTCCCGACTGAATGAATGCTCGATAAATAATGAATAATGTCGCTGACACTATGGTTGAACGTCGTTGATCAATTAAGAGCAAACTTTCAATGTTATGCTATGTACGTCTTTAATTTATTCGAGACTTTTTGTAGACATTAGTAATACATGTTTTCGACTTGTAAATTATATATTGCATTAAGTTAGTTAATACTTATTTGGTAATTAGATATCCTATGGGTTACGAATGTGGCTAACGTACTTCTGAATCGCTGTCGTATTTCGTTGAGCTCTTCGATGGTGCGAGTGAAGCTGCCCGTCGAAATGTCTCGTCCCTTTCTTTCAAACATATTGGATCTTCGTAAGTCTATAAAAATTACAAAAACAGAATTAATGATTATAATTTTTCTCTCACTAGTCAATTGATGATTTATTGATAAAATTCAATATTACATTTATATGTCAGTCTCAAAAAATATAATGTTATTTACAAGAATAATTGAATTGAACAACTGATGACGTGAAGTTATTCGATGAAGTGTTTAACCATTTAAAGAATAAGTAGAAACTGATCAGTAAGATAACCATATTTTACCTTTGTTACTGTTACAGATAAATTAATGTGTTAAAATATAGTTAATGCACTCACTTGTGTTGAGATACTTTGCGGGGGTGGTGAGGTGCCCGTAGAAACAGTCACGCTCTTTACCTCTTTCATCGTATCTTCCTCCTTTACAATTTCATTTTTTATTCTCATAGGTTCAGACACTGCTTCCGTTTTTGTCTTTTCTTCACTTTGCGTTGACATCTCAGTCGATACTACATTTAGTTTTTCTGCTTCTTTACTTTCCGTTGATGTTTCAGTTGATGCCATTTTAGGCTTACATTCTACTTCTTTCTCCGTATTGCTATTGTGCATTGAAGATTCACTCGATACTGTTTCAGCATTATTCATGTCGGTTTTTGGAGTATCGTATTTTTCGAGCAGAGCTACAGATGATGTTTCTCTCGATGTGTTTTGTGTTTTCGGTCCGACAGCAGTGGCAGTTTGAATTCTTATAGACTCCTGTGATTTTGTTGTGGATGAGCTGTCTATAGGTTCAGATACTTCGGTTTGTTCTTCTTTCATGATGCTATCATCTGAAACGAATGTAATGTTTAGACTGACATTTTAAAAATTATTTTAGAACTAAAGGCTCAGTTTTTCACTTAATTAAAATAATTGTCTAGGTTTCATGAAATTATAAAAATTAAATAAAAATAACAGTTATTGTCGTTTTCATTTTAATTGTATTAGCTTTGGTTATTCCGACGCTGAAAATTTTCTTACAAACAAAAACTAAATATGTTGTTTAATTTTAACTGTGCGAAGGATGTTTAATTTCAAGATTCAAAATAAATATAAATATAAATTTATAAACAAACTATGAAAGCGAATATTGGACAACGGGAAATACGAGTAATGGGTGTATTCAAAGAGGAAAGGCTATATGCACGATCGTCCTTGAAGTTTAGCAACTTGAATGAATAATCTAATTCGAAGGTAAAATCATCGCTAGTCATTTCCAAGCACGATTTTGCATTTTCGCCTTATGGCATACAATGTGAAAACGTCATACGAAGTTTTATTATTCATTCAAGAATGTACATTCGTTGGATTGCTTTTTCTTAAGAGTGAGGTTCGCTACAACAAACAGACATCATCTTTATAAAACGGTAGAAAATATTTGCATAAAATTTACGTTAGAGATTTATATAACAAAAGGATAGAGGCATAATTTGAGGTTGAAATAGTTGATACGTTATAGATAACTTCAAAATACTATTTTTCTATTATCACAGTTTATTTTACAGATGACAATTTGCTTGGAACTATATCAATTGTTCTTTCTTCTTGGACATTTACTTTATAATTAAATGCCCTGAATGTAAAATCCATAATACGTGAATATTTTTACTGTAAATCACAAAATCCACCACAGCAAATACATTCACAATTGTAATAAGTGTGAAAAAAAATTATCCGAAAAAGTCTTTGAGTCTCTACTAAAAAAAGAAATTGTTTTCAGCCTGCATGCCTTTATCCCCGTATAATAAAATTCCCATACAACAATCTTCCAATCCAATAACTCTACGTATACGCTAAAAAAAAGAACAAAAACAACCCGCATGTGTACATTGCAAGCACATCGCTCTTGAATCACTTGGTAAACTTGGTGCCGAAGGAAAAGCTGATCTTTCGCCTCGTTCTACCTTTGCCCTTGCCGTTGTCCATGCTCCCAGATGACTCGACATTATTATTGTTCAAAAGCTTCAATTTTTTCAGGCAGTCTTCCATGTCGTCGTCTTCGTCATCCGGTTTCGGTGGCGGTAAAGCGCTCGCTTTCGTTTTGCAACAGATTGCGCAAATTTTATCTTTGGGGTCGTTGAGGAAAGTGCAATGTTCGCACGCCCACTCACCTTTCATCACCTACCAAATTAATTGTTACGCCATCAGTAACTCATATTTTATCAATGATCAGTTCAATTACAAGAATTTTTTCGTCGATTCGAATACAGTTCACTTACCTCCGACATAAAATCTCTCGTGACATCTCCATTCTTCTTTGGCATCTCATTTTTCTTCTGATCGTTGGCCGGGGCCATTGGTGGCTTTTTCTCTTTACTTTTAAAGCTGCGTCTATCGAGCGTAGATGTTTTATCCGGTACCCTCGTTGATTGTTTTTCGGGAGTCGATGACCTCGATGGTAATTTTTCAACGTTCCGATGTTTCTCAGGAGTTGGCGACCGCGTTCGTTGACCTCGACTTGGACGTCTGTCTCGCGGTGGCGACGATGTACTTCGTTGTCTGTATTGCTCGTTTTGATAGTTCCTACTAAATAATTACAATTCAATTCAAATAAAAATTACCAAGAAACTGAACTCTATTACCTTAACTCTCTATTTGAATGATCCAAACTGTCCGACTCATCAAAGGACGATAACTTGGCATTTCGCCTCCTCTCTTCCGACGTATCCCTCCTGCACTGTTGCGATCTTCTAGACATTGATCTTGGCAATGACGCGTGTTTATCCACGTAATCGTCCGAAGAGCTCGTCATCCTTGCCTTATAACGTTGACCAGTTGCCGAGTCGTCGGTACTCTGACCGCTACGTTGAGCTTGCACGCTTCCCGCGCGACTGAATCGCATTTGCTCGTCCAAGAGTCGAGGATCGAGTGAGCGACGATCATCGTCGATTGGCTCGCGAATGTGGTCACCGTTAGTCGGAAAATGATTGGCGATCCATTGCCCCTCCAGGCTATTTATTCTGTCCTCTGATCTGCTGCCGAAACGAATACAAGAGTGACATGGCGCCTTCATAATACGAAAAAAAAAAAAAAAAAAAAGAAAATAAGAAAAAAACGAGCTGTAGAAAAGTAGTCTCACTTCCTTCCTCTTCTGGAAAGTTCATCTTGATGATAAGCCCTCGCTCTGGAAGTCCTAGCACTGCTGATGCTGTCTCTCCTGTGCCTCGAACTTCTCGACACCCTGTCGTCGAAATCCGAATCCTCCGAATTCTCCGAAGACGCATCGCTCGGCGAACTTGGCGTTCTTCTCAATCTCGATCTCGTCGACGCCGTTGATTTCCTCGATTTCATACTCGGTGACGGCGACGCAGCTTTCGATCGCCTACCGGTCGACTTGACACTTCTTGCTGGACTGTAGGATCGTGATGGGATCGGATAATGGGGCGGTAATAGATGCGACGGTGGTCCATAACCCATTGGATAACCAGGCCACATCGGTTGGTTCAAGCTGAGATTGGAACCGCCAAGAACTGGCGATTGATCCCATGGATTAACAGCTGACGGATACCACATCAAAGGATTGTTCAATGCGTTCAAATGCGCCACCGACTGAGCCTGTAAAAGGTGTATTCATACGGCGCACTGCTTATAAGCTCCCAGATAGAGACATTATGGCTCCACCCCCCACCTACTCATTACGAGCAAAATTAGCAAATCAAAATTGGAATTATCTTATAGCACTGCGATTGGCAAGGGTCGCAATTTGACAAGTACACGGTGACGCCCTGGCAACTTGATAAAAGCGAAGAAACAATAAAATAATCACCTGTTGCATGCCCGTATTGAGCCACACGCCAGCGGCGCTCAGATCGCACACGCTAGCCGACTGCATGATGTTGCGCGCAGGTGCGGGTGGCGGCGGTGGCGGCGGTGGCGGCGAAGCGAGACTGTGGCGTTGCGATTGCATACTCGCTGGTCTTGGACTACAGCTGTCTCTGCCCGGCGTTATGTCTATCGACGGGTGCCTTCGTCGATTGGCGTCTTGTGCGCGCATTGCCTCTTGGTACCTGCGATACCTCTCCTGAAAGACATTTGCCGGTTGTGTTTTTTTTTTTTTTTCATCGCAGCGAGATTGTCGGCGCGAGTTAACGTGTCATTTGTTACTTGGAGAGTTGTCATTTTGTCCGTGTTATTGCCGTCTTGCTGTGCCCTCATCATTTCTTGGGCGTTAGTTTGCATGACCTCGGCATTCCTGGCAGCTTGAGCGAGTACGGCCTCCGTGGGTGGTGGTGGTAACGGTCGCGCTAATGTCGTTGCCGAACCAACTACGTTACGTCGTAATGTCGATGATCTGCTCGAGTCCATTGGTGGAAAACCCATTTGTGGTAGTTTTGACTAGAGGATTCGTTAGGAAAGTTTGTTGCTTATTATCAAGCATATCGTCCCAATGGATCTGATCTGATGACCGAAATATTTCCTCGATATTTCAGTACGCAGAATTGTGCGACAAATAGAGTTTAGTAAATGTTGTATTTTATATCAAGATAGTTGGATGTAATAAAATAAAATATAAATTAATTACTATTCAAATAAATCGATGGATTTGAAATTAAAATTTAAAATTGCAAGGAGTTGCGAGGGAAAAGTTTTTTGAAGATACTTGGCATCGAGAGCTATCAAACGTAAAATTCAAGCAATCATTGATGTAAAAGATCTCGAGCATTAAACAATTGTCTATCAATCAGTATTAATAAATATATTAAATTATTATTTTTTGATAAACGAGCGGCTACTAAACCGATACTAAAGCAAAATATGTGAATCGTTCGTATAAGTAAATGATGAAATAGCACAAAAAAATATCACCATATTCACTGAATTTCGAAAATATTCAACGAGAAATGCTCCGAACTGATATTAAAAGTCGATCAGCAATATCTTCAAAAAAAGAAAAAAACTTTTCCCGAAATGCGAGGTAAGGGATCATTTCAGTGAATACGGCTGATATTGTTTTTGTAACAGCAACGTATATTAATTCACAAGAATATTATACAAAGGAATAAATCGACACATATAAAACGTATATAAGAGAGATATAACAATCGATAGAAATCTTAAAAATATAACAATGAAATAAAACGGATAAAAAGCAAAAAGTCCGGTTGACAGAGACACGACACTCGTAAGCCTATAATAGAGAGAAAGCAAAAGGAGCGAGGAAAATAAGGCAGAATGAAAATCGAGATTCCGGTTGCACACTTGGACTGGATGTTGTTGCGCTTTGCTTTTGGCTTATTTTCGACGGGTGCGCATGGGCTAGGTCTATTATTGGATATTATATCATGGAATTTCTTCCGGACAGACCCTGTAACGTCTTAAAAACTATAATCGACCGATAATTAATTCGAAATGTATCCTAATTTATCACATTGTTTTGTCTTTAATCACAGCTTGCAGCTGTAGAAAAATATATAAACATTAACAAAATTCTACAATTGGTGAAAGGCATCTTCGACGTTGAAGTGAAAATATTTCTTCTTTTTTCATGAATCAATCACTCAGAATTGATCGTCTCAGCCCGGTATCTCACTCATACATGTAGTTACAATTGACAAATAAGCTAAGGATATTAATTGCGCAAAGGTTGCGTTAAAGTAGGTACGTAAGAAATGCAATCGGTGAAATATTCGAAGAAAGCTGAATGTGTAATAGATACATTGCACTATGAAAAATGACTGTGGCCAAGAGAATTTTCGCAGCAAACCCACTTCCGACTTGACGAAGGAAATTATTATTCTTCATCTCATAGATGATTCAACATTTGCGTGGCGTTCTTTAAACTGCACAGCCGATATTCCAGAAATCCGCTACGATAGATAGTCTCGATATAGGACTTGAAAGTGGATTAATAGCTGAGCTGACGCCGCGTTAGCGACGAGTATAATACTCTAATTTAAATCAGCCAAAAATACACGAAAATCACGTAAGCGTGCAAGGCAACACAGCTTTCATAGTGCAATCGTACAATATCTTGGTAATTTTGCAATCGAGTACGCTCGGCCGTCACATAACGGCACATCCTACCTGATTAGCCCTACGATTTCTTCGAGGTGGTGGCACAGGTGGTGGTCCACCAGTGTCACCTTTCGGCGGCAGTGGCGGTTTGACCTGCCTCGCCGCGGCGCCATTTCCCAATAAAACCGGCTGGATGCGGCGACGCGCGTGGCTACGTCGCCTCGGATGCTTGTGATTCGCCTCGTCGCAGCTGTCGCAATAGACCTGGACGCAGTTGTCGCAACGTATCGTCCCTGGTTCGCTGCCGCACAGTGCGCACCTCGCGGCGGGCTTCGTGTGGCCGTTGATCATGCTGCCTGCTTGCGAACGGCAGACATTCAGTTCGGACTTGCGAAGCGAGCGACTGACGGTCGATACGCACCTGCCGCGAAAACGGGAGGCCTCGCGTGGTTATTGCCGTTGCTGCGACCGACGGCGAGCGGCTTACTCGAGTTCGAGGACGGGAATTCGATAACTTCGTAGTCCGGATCTCCGCAGTCTCCCGACAGGGACGGCGGCGGGCCTTTCGGGGCCGGCGGCGGGCCCGACTGCTTCTTCTCGTCTGCCTGCTGGGCCTGCTGTGTGCGTTTTCAAAGCGAAAGCGACTCGTGAATGCCGCGCAGCCCCGTTCGTCGCCTCGCTGACGTTCGCGCGGGTCCGCGACGAGAGAGTCGACGACCGGGCGGCCAGAGAGGCGCGTCTTTCTTTCGATCGCGCGCGGCGATCCCGCGCCCGCGCGAGCTTGGTAGAATTAGACCGAGACAGGTTGGAAGCGCATAATGCGAGCTCTGCCTCGCTCGCGCCCAACTACGTCGATTATTAATAGTTGCGCCGCTGCCGGGCGTCCGTGTACGCGCGCGCGCGTGTCTATCGAAACAAAAATCTATTCTTACCAAGACCCAGTGAGGCATGGAGCGGGCCGTCCTAAGTCGGCTCGACGGATTGGAAATGGCCATCGGCCGCCATCTGTCCGCGGCTCCGGGATTCTGCACCAAACAAAATTCGTCACCTTCGGTTAGTTTTGCGCGTAGGGCACACGCGCGAGGATGCCTCGGCGCGCCAGACTTGGTCCCGCCGGCCAAGGTGTCGCGGAAGCGCGCCCCCCTCGGCCGACGCGTCTTCGCCCTTAGCGTCGCCCATTTGACGTCCTTTGGGCCAGATTGGAAAAGCGAGCTCGTCCAAAGTCGAGAGAAGCATTCCAGGCGCGCGTCCTCTAAGCGGCCGCTCAACGAGAGGAGAAAAAATTGGCACGACTGGCCTGTGGAGCCATTCACCTCGGATCTCGCCGCGGCGCGATGTTTGTATTCGCGTCGGAGTGTAGGCCGCGGCCGCCGCCGTCTCATTTTTGCCGCGCTCGGAAGCTCATCGAACCCGTGATGACGATGACACCTATACTCGCTTACACGCAGCTATAGAGTTTATAACTGGCGCGCATTTTCTTGCGCTAGTCGCGCGGCCAACGAAAATAGAGTGCGTGGGCTGCTACCAAGTAGCCTACTGCTCTCGTCTCCCTTCCTCCTTCCTTGTGTTCGGCATTATGCACTTTTTCCGACTCCATGATGATTGCCAGTGGCTCCTCCGATGCCCCCGAATTGTCCGCTTGACCGCGCGGATCAAGGAGCAGTCAGCTTCCAACGGCGTAGCTCTACTCGCCGACGTGTATATCGAAGCCGCGGCAGCGCGCCGATCGCAGGACAACGGGAGCGTCCGACGATAGCGTGCGCTTCGCGGTCGCTCAGCCCAATATCGTCGCGATCGCTGCCGCGGCCTCGAGACGCGGGACGTCGCACGCCACTCGTGATTGATCGCCGCGAACTAGCCCCAAAAGCGAACTCGCCGAGTTACGCGTGGCATCGATTGAACGATCGCGACGCAACGGCGATCGATTCACGAAGACTCTCCCCCCCCCTTCTCTCTCTCTCTCTCTCTCTCTCTCTCTCTCTCTCTGCAAACGTCGTTCCACGCGACGTCTTTTGGTCGTTTTCAGCGAATTGATTTTGCGTTGCCACGGGACAGGAGAGACACGCGCTCGGCCACTGCCAAGTAAAGACGTTCGTTCTATTTTGCTGGGCTTAGTAGGGTAGAGCAGCTTTATTTTTAACGGGAAATAAGTTTGCAAGCCACGCAGTCTTCGCATATCTGCTGTGCCTGACATTGATAATGATGCTCCGTATGTGCGCTACGTCTTTGAAGGTGGATCTGTCCTCGCCTTTTCTTCTATTCGAGCAGGTGAAATAAGATGAGCTCGAGCAAAGAATTACCTATAAATACTGCCGAGATTGTCTGGCCGCGAGAACGAGAGTGTACGTAGCGATCGACCCAGCCGCTGAATGAATATCCTCGACGTTCTAGGATTCCCGGCGATTAATTTCAATGAAATAGATATCGTTTCCGCGTCTAATAAAACTGCCTCGTCGTGCACTGCCAAGAACACTTCAGTCGGTGGGATCGACAAATTTTAAGAGTCACGTAAAATATAACTTATCTAAGAAAAGAGTTCTCCGGTAGAATATTTCGCCTGAAAAGTAAAGGCGCGATTTCAAAAAAATTTTGCATGCATTATAAAAGGACATCGCGCTTTCGAACACGACCAAGTCCCCATTAAAAGAAAAATACTCTAACATGGTGTCCATGGTCCATTGCAATGATAATCACTAGGCGAACACTTGATTCACTTTCTTCTCGCAGAGAGTAACAACTCAATCGCGAAACGAAAGCTCGAATTCTCTGTCGAGCGCGCGAACACGTTCACTTATTAGACACTGACGAGCAACACTTGAAGAAGAAAAAAGCGCATCTTACGGGTTATAATGCAAAAATTTGTACTCACGCTCATGGCTCACACGCGGAGGCTAGCAGACAGACAGACCAAACTACGCCGGAAAGTGTGAGAGAGCCTCGTCTTCGTCGGCCGACTGACTGAGAAAACTCTCAGTACGAACGTGTCGCGAAAGAGACAGAGAGAGAGAGAGAACTGCTCCGAGAATCATGCTATTTTCGGGTGGCAATGCGCCGCTGCTGCGACTGAACTCCTGCCACCAAAAGACTCTCCTCGTTCTCGCAAATATAAATGTCTGTCTCTCTTTACTCGTGAGACACTAAGAACATTGTCTTCTATATCTTCTTTTTCTTTTCGTTCATTGCCAGTTATAGATGAAAATAAGTCGGACGATGGCGATTGCTCTCAAGTCTTTCAGAAGAACTGTTTCGGAGGCCTCCTCCGTAAAAAGCTGCACAAAAGTCATCGTAGGAAAGAAACGAGGAGACATCTTTTCAGAGCAAGTAACGCTTTAGAATTCTCAGGAGACTAACAACTTTTTCAATAGTCTTTCAATCGTATGACAATTGCGAAGCGTTAATATTAGACAACCCACATATCTATAACCAATAACGAGGCGCTCGCAGGTGTCTGACGTACATATGGTTTTACCATACTCTGAATGCATAAAATATAAAGTAAAACATTACGAAGTACCTGCCATATTTTAGTTGTATCTCGTCATTAATTTCCATTACAAAATAATGTTGATCATTTCTGTTTGAAATTTTTAAGAATGGCTTGCTTTTATTAAACCAATTCGAATGAAGTTTATTTATCATCTCAAAAAAATCCTATTTCAATTTTTTTAATTCTGAAATATACTAAATGGAAAAAAAAGTTTCCAAATAGATCAAAGTTACACTGAACGTTGAAGAATTACTTTGAATTGTCAATTGTTTTAACATTGAATTGAGTAGATCAAAATTTCATCAATTTCTTTGCATTTAACAATCTCGTTACTCAAAAATCAAATATTCTAGACAGGGAATTAAACCTGACAAAACCTACAAAACCCGGAATGCTTCATATAATTTAAATTGAAAATTTATTTAAATAAAGAGAAGACTTTGAAGATTTCACTATTATTTCCATTATTACAACAGTCTTTTTAATAATTTTTAGAAATAACTGATGAAAGCATTAAAAAGACTCTCACTCTTAAGTTCTCTCTCTCTCTCTTCGATTTTCCTCATTATAGTAAACCGTCATTATCAGCACGTGCAAGTATACGATTTACTATAAGGAGATCTGATAACATTCTGGCTTTTCAATAAGGACATCATTCGAAATGCAAGGGTTTTCATTTTTCACACGCGCAAGATATTGTTATTTTTGCACAGTTTCGTAATTTTATTATGACATTAACATCCATGTATATTACTGAAAAAATCCCATTCTCCTTCAGATCGATTCAACAATTTATATATATACGTACATCATCAAGTTCTTTGTCCACTACATTATTTGAAAGAACGATAAGAAAATACAACAGAGCAGATACCTCTTGATATTCAACAACTTTTGTACTCATAGAGAGAATAGACGTCAACGTTCGAAGTTACTTATATGTACTTTCATGTATTAGTGGGCTAAGCAAGCTGATTTATTACTGTCAAGTGTATTTCTCCCATGTATATAAAATGCACTAATCTTGTATACTTCGTAACAACGCTAAGTAAGAGAGCGCTGTGTTAAATATCTGAAAATAAGTCATTTGAATATAAGAAGTCATTTGAATAGAGAAAATGAATGTGCATATTTATTTCCGCAGACCTCCGACATTTTCTTCAGAGACATAGTTTGAAGGCCGATGGCCGAGACTTCGCAATGCTTTTGCGATCTGAACATGATCATCTGGAAATCTCGCTGTATAGAAGCAGGTAATACATACCAAGGAACGTCGCGCGCTACCACGCTAGCAACTTCCGTGCTTTCGCGGATAATCACCTCACCGGACCAACAGCCAATTAGCAGCTGCATAATCACTGCAATGAGTATCACTATAAACTGCATCCGGTTAGCCGGATCGTCGTCGGTTTCTATGATCACCCAGCCGACAAAGCAAATCTCCACTGCTGCCACCAGAAATTGGATGAAGTTGATTGGTCCCAACAAAGGCTCCACGAACTGGAACGCCCTGCGTTATCGGTTTCGACAAAATTCATTGATCTCATTTTTTTTCTCTACTCTCAATAGTATAAAAGTAACGACTTAGTATGCAAAAAAAACTGCGCTCTTAAATATAAATAAAATAGGGCCAACTCTAAAGCACGTATTATAAAATGATAAGACCATCCCGAGGCATATTGGCTCACCTATTCGGAAAATATGCACAAAGATTCAGATCGCATACAGAATTTCCTTCTTTTTTATGTTGGTGAAAAGAAAATTTCTCAATATTTTTCATTAGCCAGGAATGAGCTTACTTGAGAAACAGGAGTATTAAAGATAATTTCAACAATCAAGAGAAACCCTATTTAAGAAATGGGCCCTTTGACTATGAGTAAAGTAAAAGGACTAAGTCTCTACGAAAAGGTTTTCCTTTAACTCGGTTTTAAAAAAAGAGTTTAATTTTTCAATACACGGTTTCTTTAATCGGATGTGTTGAGGACCAACCCGCTTGAAGAATAGTATCTCTTTTTTATTTTTAATAAAATTGCCGTGACGGTAATCTAAACAATCGGTCCATCGTCACTAATTGAATTCTAACAGAAGATAGAAGTTTTACCACAAATATTATTTATTGAATTACTGATGTTTAGTTAGTCGACGTTCACCGTTAAATCATGTCATTAGAGGTATATTTAATATTGTTAAGTCTTTTATTATTGTGTTATACTAACTTTGCGTATGGTGTTCGGGGGTTTATAACAACATAATTGATTTAGAGGCTAAGATAATTTTAAACTTTACAAAAATATTTCAAGTTTACTCAGAAAGCAAGTCCTCCTGCCGAATTTATATTGCAGTAAGAAGATCGAATTCCTTTTGAAACAAGAAAATTCCTATTGCATGAAATAAAAATTGTTTGGCATCAAAGTTTTGCAATAATAGGTGTTCGTGTCGTTCGCACTCGCTACCGACTTTCCGTGCGCTTGAGGAAAACACAGGTTTCCGCGCGTCTGGAAATAACCCAACGCTACGTCGCACCGTTCCCCTTAACCCCTATCGGGACCCCCCCCCCCTCCCCCGGCAATATCCGGGAGGAGAAAAGGTAGCTTCCCCGCTATTCTCACGTCTGTACGTACTTAGCGTTCAGGAACGCTCGTTTTCTGGACAAAGGTTACTCAACGATAGCTTCGTAGGGCGTGATCGCGTTGTTCGTCATCCGCGAGATTCAACCGCTACCCCGAGTGCCCATTTGTTGCGACCCCGCACTTTTTCGCAGTAGCTGTCCATTTGTTGTCTTGGGGTAAGGACTGGCTTTGTTTCCAAGACGTTGGAACATCAGGCGGTGCGTGTGGGAATGGTACATTCAGGGCGTTCAAGTAAGGTAAGGTAGCTCTCTACGCGGCGAACCGAAAGCCTTCCACTTTGTATTACGACGATACTGTTTCATATTCGTCGCCAATCGCCCTTATTCCGAGCCGTTTATGTATGCATATTGCTGTATTGGCCGAAATCGATATCGAGCACGCGATCGCTCCCCCACGCGAGTGATCGAGAGCTTAAATCCTCCGAGCGTTGCCTTTCCTCTGCCTCGATGAAGGCCTTGGAATCGCACTTCAGCACATCCTACCTACCGCTCTAACCGATCTATACCATCACCTTGACTGTGCGAGCTACCCGAGTGCTGGCTTATGTACTGCTCTGGTTAAGGGGGAGTCAAACGAGAAAGGAGATCCCAGAAGAGCCGCCCAAGATTAATTTCAAGAAAATGTCTGAGATAAGTACTTTTTGCGGGAGAGCGTAACTTGTCTCTAACTTTTAAATAATATTCATCCGATATTAAATCTATGTCTCTCCGTCTAATGCAATGAATGATCGATAACGAGCGTAATGATATTAGCCGAAAATAAGCTAATGTAATAACGTAATTACGGAATTGATTGAAAAAGATGGATGGATGAGCCAGTTTACTTATTGTCACTTATAGAACCAATAAACACCCAATTACTGCCCCTTTAGTTTATGTCTCAAGCTCTTCATTTCATAGTATGTTACTAGTTTCATAAGAAAACAAAGTGAAACGTTCCAGTATTATCCGCGCGATTTATATCAATTAATTTTCTTTCTCTAATATTTAGAGTCACTTTTCTATCTTGTGGTTTAATAAAGTATATTATCTTATGATTCACTGTAATCTCGGGTTATTGTTTGAAGACCTGCTGATTCCATCCAGTCACCCTACCCTTCGTGATCATACATATAATATCTTCGCACAAGTTAAAGTAATTACAAAATAGATTTATTAGAAAACAAAATAGTCACTACAAAAGGAGTCATTTCAATTTTGGTTTCCTATGATCATAAAGGGCATAGTGTTGAACGTTACACGAGATCACGAATATATGGTATTCAAAGAAATCAGAAAACTTGTAAAAGCTTATCTACGAACAATATAAAAGTTAGTGTACCTGAGCACTGTAGCGTGATGCGCTATGCATGCTCTCATATCCTTCGCCCACTCACGTATAAATGTGCTTGAAAGCTCATGGTCAGTGTAAAGCTTTTCACTCATCATGGTTAGCCTGCAACTGACTAGCCTGAGCTGGCCAGCTATGTGCATGAAAATGAAAATTACGGTGAGATCCGGTCCTACAATAGCGGAACAGACAAACACCAACGACAGCGCTTGTAATGTGAAAGTGAGCTTATAACCTGGCAATATCTGTAAGCCATGTTCATGCCTACGACAGAGAAATAAATCACAGTTTATTTTGGAAACAAGTAATTGGAGTGTACGATGAATCTATGGCTTACCAGTGTCCAAACGGTACTCTGCGATCATAATCGGAACCGTTGGTAGTCGCACGGCTGTACAAAGTTACTACACTGGCGGTGGTTATGAAGTAAATCGCGGACATGATGCCCGCGCAAGAGAACAATTCGGTGTAGAATCTCGCGTAATTAGCAAGTTTGACAATTTCATTGCGCTCCTCCTGATTCTTAGCTGCATACCAGAACTTGCGTATAAACTTGTAGGCGATGTTGAAGTCATTTTGATTAATTGCCAAGTAAGAAATTTTCATCACAGCCCCCGAATAGCCCAGTGCAAACAGTCCATTCTCTAAAACATTCCGTTCGAATACGACCAAAAATATCATGACATAATGACATATACGAGCAAAACATCTGCAGAATTGTATCCATGGTTGTTATGAATAATCGGAGACAACATATCATTCACGATTTTTTTTTTCTAATTTCCATGTACTTTATTTCATAAAACTTAGAAGTTTAAATAACGTTTCGATCGCATTTTTTTTACCATCAGTAAACACCATTGCGTGCACTTACCCGTCAATACAGCTAGGTCACCCCAATAAAGATAGATTACAGTAAACAGAGATATGATGCAACACAAGAAAATCGTGATTACTATTATAATACGGAACACAGCAAACATCCTAGTGGAATAGCTGGCATTTGGTTCGAGAGTCCATAAGCCCATTGTAGTTAGTAAGTAACGATTGAGCCAAATCATCTCATCCACGTCCGTATCTACATCCCATACCAATGCTTTTGAGCTCTTTAGTATATTCTACATACAAATGATTATACATATATAAAACAATATCTCAATACAACATAAGATACACGGTAAATGATTTTTATCCAGGCACTCGATTTTTTCTTATACATATCTTTCATTTTTCAGACCGTCAACATTAGCATCATGAATATGGTGTATTAAATTCAAACTGTCGATCAATGGTTGGCTTTAAATAGCGTGTAATTATAAAAATGAATTGCTTTTGAAAGAAAGCAGTTCATTCTGAAGACTACACAGTTACACTTTCATCGTCGGTGAATACGTTCTAAATTTAATACAACTATTGCTCGAGTGCACATTTTTTTTCAAAATCAAATCGATGCATTGAATTCATTTTACACATTGTCCAAAATAAGTAAAAACAGCAAACAGAAAGTAATCGTTAGAATAATACTTGTAACTTATCTAAAAAAATTAATTTTTCTCGTAAAATATTTCTATGTATACTGATACTGTATTACCTGAATTAGCCGTCGTTCGATTGGCATTTTTAGAACTCTATTCTTTATTTCGTACGCTCATTATTACAAAATGTAATTATTTGTCGGAACCACTTTAAAAGTGTCAAATGCCCTGAGAACCATAGAAACTTTTGATCGTTTGTTAAGCTTTAGAATGATATCGTTAAATTACAAAGAGAACGTAAAAAACGTGCGTTACGAAAGCGCAGAAAGATCTGCTCTGCCAGTTCTACCCTTGCCGATGCTTAGTATATTATGCAAAACACTACTTTCTATCGACGATATATTGCCGTAGAAAAAAGTGCTTCAGCCAATTGCGTAATCATAGAGCGGAACGCGAGTTCATTTAATATTAACTTCGTCCCTTTTTAATTTTCCCTTAAGATTTGAAAACAGTGGGTTTTTCTTAATTTCACTGATATTTACATTCTTTGTACATAATTTTTAGCTTCATAATTGCCAAGTTTTCGACATTTTTATTCACCTCGACTTAGCTTCCCTGTTATTATCTATAGCCGGCACATTGTAACAAAGTGCGAATAATGGCATAGCAAAAACTTTAGTTATAAGAGTGAAGGTGCGAAGAAAAAATATTTCCCGTCAATACAATGTGCCAAGTTGAACGAACTGCTTCGAATTCAGCTTTACCTTTGTCTATATTTTTACGCTATTGATTTTGATTATGTGGTTTCGATTGTGAAATAGTGCAGCATTTATAAACAATACTGATTTCTAACGCTTTGCCTATACGTTATACTTTAAATCAAAATTTATAAGCTTCGAACAAGTCACGTGGAAAAGTGAGCTTCTTATTCTATTTTATAATTTTACGATTCATTTTCACTCATCTGCTAACGATATTGTTATCGCGACAAATGACATACTTCGCTCAATATTGAAGATCAACAAGGAAAATCAGTCTAGAAGGGACAATCGATGGCCAGAGAGTGTAGGAGAAAAGGAGGCAGAGCTTACCATTTTTCTGCGAGTCACAGCGCACAGCCTATTTGCCAACGTATCCGCCCACTTGCAGCTAACGTCTGCGCGCAGAAATTTTTTCCCACGTAACAAAGGCTTGCAACAGCTCATTAACGATAAACGGTTTATAAAAAATGGATAGCTTTGCTGAATATTTCATACACTCGACTAGAAGACTAGCTCTGCTGGCAGTTGCTCCTCGAACGAGTTGACGTACACTTCGGATATTTATCCTGATTTAGATAGGAAATCTCAGGCTTTGAAATAATTATAAGATGTATTGAAAGATTGCTGGTACAATCCTAAGAAATTGAATATTATTCATATTTATATTCTGTGCGTTCAGCCAATTTGTGGTTGCAAATGAGGACCTACTGCAAAGTACAAATACCAAATCAACGTTCAGGTGAATTCAATGAATTTGAATGATGCCACACAATGAGGGATTTCAAAAAAATTTGTTAATTATTAACTTGATTAAACAATAAATAGTTAAAAGGTATGTTATACTACACTAAATTAGAAAAGTAAAATACTACTAATAAACTTTGTTAAAAGTATTTTTTTTATATTTTTTTTCAGAGGTGGATATTTACTGTAGCCATAGGTGATTGTGAGAATAATAGAAAATCTATCTAAATCAGATTTATGAATTTGTGATTTCGTAAAAATAAAAGCTTTAATGTATGATCCAATTTGAATTTAATATATAGGTGTATTATGCCATAGCGTCGCGTTATCACATTATGTCTGTTCCATTTTGATCGAATAGCTTTTGATTCGATAAAGAAAAATATGTTGAATCCAATGGTATCTTTCTTTACTTCTTGAGCCATGGAAAATTGTGTGATATTTCATGTAAGTTTGTAAAATTTTGTACATTTAACATAGCGGCATTTACGGAGTGAAGTGAAAAAAATGTTTAAATTCGATCATTTACTTTCTCTTGATTACGATCAGTACAAATTACATTAGTACAAATTACAATTTACATTTGTTTTGTCTTTAAATATAACTAATGAATAATTGTTTATTACAAAGATAGCGAGTAAGACTTGCAAGTTTAAAATGTTTGTTAAACAATCTATTGGTACTTTATTGTTATTCTTTTTTACTATTTAAATTCAAAATATCCATTGTTTGTTGATAATTTTATTCTTAAAACGGTAGGACTTGTATACAAAAATATATTAATAACATGAGCAGTTTAGTATATAAATTAATAAAACAATTATAATTTAGTTGTATAATATAATAATATGTAAAACAGCCTTATATTTATTAACAATTTTAGATATTTCTATGGTTTTCTTATTTTTCCGATTAATCTAAGATTCAAAATGAAAACGCGATAAGAGGTTTTGGAGAGCCATAATTATTTGCCATCTATTTCTGTAAAAAAAACAAGAAGGAGATTGTAGTTCTATGGTCTTCTCACTTTATCGGTTTATTGACGCTTTCCAACCATATGTGCGAAGGCTACAGGTTTTCCGTAATGTATACAGGAGAGAAAAAACAAGATCAGAAATGTGCGCAAGTTAAAGGAACATAGGTCTAAACCAGTACCAATCTCTTTTTAATAGAAACTTTGCTTGAGATGTATTATCGGCTAGAAACTCAAAGAAAATTTTGGCCGCCACATTCAACCTTGTTCTTTTCTCAAACAGGCAAAGGTTCTCATTCTATTTTTAATTTTAATTTTACGAAGCAAACTTGAAAAAAAATTAACTTGAAAAATATGATCCGTCGTCACAATTTCTATGTAATTGAAACATAAACCTAAAAACATATGATTTTGTGATATATGTAATTTTTTTGTAAATATACTGGAAAATTACAATAGACAATCTTGCACCACAGTTACTTTTTGACACTATTTTATAACTTATGAGTTTTAAGTCACAGACGTTTATGGTCATCATATACTCTTGATATTATTATGATAACCTATTCATGTCAATTCCTAAGATTTTAATGGGATTTACAAAATATATGAAAGGGCTTTAGGATATTTTAAGGTAGCTGATGGTAGTCTACGTTTGTAAGATTTTACTTTGAGCCAAATATAATTCTTACTGATTTAGGTGGTTACATTCTGGCCGGTACACCCTATGAGCCTCTATCTGAGGCTGATAGAAGGAAGGCCATATTCGAAAGAGGGTCGGAGAAGAACGGCAACCCCCAGAAACTTTACCGTACACCCATTTGCAAATACATGCGTGGCAGATAGCCAGAGGGAGGAGTTAAGACTTGCCAATAATAGAAGGTACACAATCAAAGGCTAGTCTGCCTTTTCTCTGCAATACCCTAAACTCTATACCCCTCTGAAAATTCGAATTCACCCCCAAAAAATTAGAAACTGGTGAAGTCGTCCTTTCACTGAGGTGTTCCTACGAATATTATAGATGGTTAATGACGTGAATGATGCGCTACTGCTATTGACAATGAGGCAATGCACGTACAAAGGTGTTGCTCTTACGCGTGTGGGACAAGTACTATTTTTGGTGGCCTATCTTCCCATTTCACTGTAAGCTGATAACTATACTAATGAAACTATTATTGAAAATAATATTTGTTATTTAAAAAATTGTTAACTAAAATAATCTTCTACGGAATTATATATACAATCTTATGTGGAATTTCTGCAGTTCAAATTTTTGAATCTCATGTTGGTTCTTATACGGCATCCCATACAGGATCGTGTGATACGAGTTTTCCGACAAGGCTACGTTGAAAGCTCGTGTAAGAGCAACCTTAATCTCGAGCGAGGTTATACCTTCCTATTGAAGAATTTCCCTAATATTCGTATTATGAATTCCAATGATAAATTGAGAACAAGCTATATTACTTTGTGTGCCTCTAACAAACATTCATGCTACGCTAAATATGTTAACTTTTCTACACCAGCTGCTCTATCATTGAAAGATTTTTACTGGGTTTGTAAGCCCTATTTTGAAATAAAAAGTAACCGTTTGATTCTAAATGTTCGCCAAAACGCGCCTCCAACTTTTCGAATGAAGTCTCCGTATTTTTAAAGCTATTCGATATATACTTTGCTTTATCACACAACGAAATAGCCAAAGTTGCCATCTTATTAAAACTACCGTCGTCAGTACACTTATACTTAATTACTTCGACGAGGTTTTGCTTCTCGGTGCTGCAATATTGAACTACAGCTTCGATCTCTTTTCGAGGTCCATACTCAGCTTCACGTTCGATTCGTAGTCTTTTTAATTGTTAATGTTAGTTTTTCATTTGACTCTTTGCTTCATTTAGTATCAACAACGATTCATAAACGTAAGAGTAAATTGAGATGTAGCGGTAATCGGAGTCACTATAGTCATCAACCACTATTTGGCGGGCTGCCAAACGTGCACTAGTTAGTTAAGCTGACTAAATTGTCAATAACCGGATCAGTATGTGGTATATTGCTAGTACCACGATTTTGCAAATTCTGCTCCTAATATTTGTTGTTTACTTTGTATGTTATTGCGTGGTAAGTATTTCCAATTATATTGTGACGTTAGTCGCTGAATAGAAGTCGTGCATCTTAATTCAAAGTCTGGTATGAGCGCGAGACATTTGCATATTTAAACCGAATTCTTCGCTTGTAGATTTACGTTCTAAAATATAGATAACGCCGAATTACCCGTTAACACATTTGATTTTCAAACAAATGCAAAAGAATGCAAAAAAATAGCAATGAATGTTGTAATACAGCGAACACCCCAGTAATCAAGCTGGCATTAAGTTCCAAAGGCCATAAGCCGAAAAGGAACCGAAGGAAAAACATGGTTGTGACTTGAGTAGCTTGCTAATATCACGGTGAAAAAGTATTTTGTCAATGTCAAAGCCACGTCCAATGACAGCATTATCAAAATCTATTATTATGTTCTAATTATTCAACATACTTTAATAATATTTTATAGCATTGTGTGGCTTAAATCAGCACTTAAGTAACGCCTATCCATGACTTACGTAGTTCGTTTTGGCACTATACTTAGAGAGTAGAGCACTAATAACCCAATAATCTTACTGTTCAAAACAAAACTATCTAGAATCACAGATATATGAAATAATAGTATGGATTTCAAATCCACAGTGCTATGAAATGTTATACGATACTTGTGACATAAGTAGTTTGTTAAAATCACGCTGAGTTATAGTGAGCTACTTAAATCACACATACCGTAATATACTATTAAGCTACATTCATATATACACACACACACGCGCGCGCGCGCACACACCTTTCATTCTTAATGGGACTTATCAAAAACATAAATATTCCATCAATTATTATGAACAACTATCAGAGTTCGAATGATTGCAAGAACAATTATACACATAAAATATGACTAAAATAACTTATTATTACGGAAATACTATATCACGACCTTTATACTTATAAATAACCAAAAATCGATAAAAAAGACAACTTATAAGTGTTTTTGAAATCTACTTATTAATTTAAAAATTAACTTCAAAATACGTATTAAAATGTCGAATGTGTTTACTCATAAAGTGCAAGATAGCCTCGTCTTTATCGATCGATTGACTGAGAAAACGGTTAGAAGGAACGTTTCACGAAAGATAGAGAAAGCTGCTAGGAGAATTATGCCTGGTCGAATAGACTTCCAATCATATGATTGTAACTAGGCGTTAATATTAGACAACCCACATCTCTATAATCAATAATGAGGCGCTCCCAGATATCTAATCTGTGTACATATAATTTGATTATACTGTAAATGCAATAAATATAAAGTAGAACATTACAATGTACGTGTCGTTGTTTAGTCACATCTCATCATTTATTCTCGTTTTCATCCAAATGTGGTACTTATAGGCTTACTCAAAGTGTCTACTTTTGGAGCTTTCTACTACAAAATAATGTTGAACATTTCTGTTTGAAACTTTTACTAATGACTTGCTTTTATTTTGCGAATTTGAATGAAGTTCAAGTCATCTTAAAATATTCATGTTTCAACTTTTCCACTACTGAAAAATACTAAATAAAAAGAAAAGTTTCAAAATGAATCAAAATTACACAGAACATTGAAGAATTACCTTAGATTTTCAATGTTACTGAAATAGAGAAAATGAATGTGCATCTTTATTTCGGCAGACGTTCGACATTTTCTTCAGAGACATAGTTTGAAGGTCGATGGCCAAGACTTCGCAATGCTTTTGCGATCTGAACATGATCATCTGGAAATCTCGCTGTATAGAAGCAGGTAATACATACCAAGGAACGTCGAGCGCTACCACGCTAGCAACTTCCGTACTTTCGCGGATAATCACCTCACCGGACCAACAGCCAATTAGCAGCTGCATAATCACTGCAACGAGTAGTACTAAAAACTGTATCCGATTAGCCGGATCGTCGTCGGTTTCTATGATCACCCAGCCGACGAAGCAAATTTCCACTGCTGCCACCAGAAATTGAATGAAGTTGATTGGCCCCAACAAAGACTCCACGAACTGGAACACGCTGCGTTATCGATTTTGACAAAATTTATTGATTTCGTTTTTTTACTCTTTACTCAATAGTATGAAAGTAACGACTTAGTATGCAAAAAAAAAAATGCGCTCTTAAATATAAATAAAATAGGGCCAACTCTAAAACATGTACTATAAAATAATGAGACCATCCCGAGGCATATTGGCTCACCTATTCAGAAAATATACATAAAGATTCAGATCGTTTACAGAATTTCCTCCTTTTTTATGTTGATGAAAACAAAATTTCTCAATATTTTTATTATCATGAATATTGTTGATGATGATGAAAATAATATTGAAATTATTTTAATACTAAGACACTGGGTCTTTATCCTAGTAAGCTATAGGAATGAGCTTGCTTAAGAAACAGAAAAATTAAAGATAATTTCAACAATCAAGAGAAACTCTATTTGGACCATTAACTCAAGAAATGGACCATTTGACTATGAGTAAAGGATTAAGTCACTAAGAAAAGGTTTTCTTTTAACTAGGTTTTTAAAAAAGAGTTTAATTTTTCAATACGTGGGTTCTTCAATCGCATGTGTTGAGGACCAACCCGCTTGAAGAATAGTATCTCTCTTTCATTTTTAATAAAATTGTCGTGACGTCAATCTAAACATTCGGTCGATCGTCACTAATTGAATTCTAACAGAAGATAGAAGTTTTACCACGAATATTATTTATTGAATTATTGTTTAGTTAGTCGGCGTTCAATCATGTCATTAGAGGTATATTTAATATTGTTAAGTCTTTTATTATTGTGTTATACTAACTTTGCGTATGATGTTCGGGGGTTTATAACAACATAATTGATTTAGAGGCTAAGATAATTTTAAGCTTTACAAAAATATTTCAAGTTTACTCAGAAAGCAAGTCCTCTTACCGCAAGAGGAATTTATATTGTAGTAAGAAGATCGCATTCCTCCCGAAACAAGAAAATTCCTATTGCGTGAAATAAAAATTGTTTGTCATCAAAATTTTGCAACAAGATATTCGCGTCGGTCCCACTCACTGTCGAGTTACCATGTGCTATGGGAAACTCAGAGAAAAGGCCAGGTTTTAGTAGGTCTGGATAAAAATTTCTGCGCCACATCGTTCCCATTCCTTTAACCCCTGACGGGACCCCATCCTCAAGGGCCTGAAAAGCGAGGGGAGTTTCTCCGCTTTTCTCACGTTTTTCTCAAAAAAAAGGATGCGCTCGCAAAGTCCAGTTGAGTACGAGAGTCCGAGCGTGCAGAATATTTCTTAAAAGCCACCTGTGCTTAGCGATCAGTAGTGCTAGTTTTCCGTTTACGTATCTGTATCCGTAGCCGAGTCATTGGCGATCTGTTCGCAGTAGCTGTCCCTTTGCTGTCTTGGGATAAAGGCTGGTTCTGTTTCCGAGACATTGGAACATCAGGACTTGCGTGTGGAAACGGTACTTTCCACGATTAGGGCGTTCAATTAAGGTAAAAGAGCTCTACGCGGTGAACCGAAGACATTCGACTTGATATTATTCGAACGATTTATACCTATTAAGTTTGCGTCTGTGATTTGGCATCAAAATTTTGCAACAAAAGAACTCATTTTAACTTTTGATTCCTATGATCATAAGACATATAGTGTTTAACAGTACACGAGATCACAAGTATTTGGTTTTCAAAGAAATCAGAAATATTGTGAAAGGTTATCAACGAGCAATTATAAAAGTTAGTGTACCTGAGCACTGTAGCGTGATGCGCTGTGCATGCTCTCATATCCTTCGCCCACTCACGTATAAATATGCTCGTAGGCTCATTGTCAGTGTAAAGCTTTTTACTCATCATGGTTAGCCTGTAACTGACTAGCCTGAGCTGGCTAGCTATGTGCATGAAAATGAAAATTACGGTGAGATCCGGTCCTCCAAAGGCGGAACCGACAAACACCAACGACAGCGCTTGTAATGTGAAAGTGAGCTCACAACCTGGCAATATCTGTAAGCTATGTTCATGCCTACGACAGAGAAATAAATCACAGTTTATTATGGAAACAAGTAATTGGAGTGTACGATGAATCTACGGCTTACCAGTGTCCAAACGGTACTCTGCGATCATAATCGGAACCGTTGGTAGTCGCACGGCTGTACAAAGTTACTACACTGGCGGTGGTTATGAAGTAAATCGCGGACATGATGGCCACGTAGGAAAACAACTCGGTGTAGAATCTCGCGTAATTAGCAAGTTTAACAATTTCATTGCGCTCCTCCTGATTCTTAGCTGTATTCCAGAACTTGCGTATAAACTTGTAGCAATGTTGAAGTTACTTTGATTAATTGCCAAGTAAGAAATTTTCATCACAGCCCCCGAATAGCCCAGAGAGAACAGTCCATTCTCTAAAATTTGCCATTCGAATGTGACCAAAAAAAATTATGATATAATGACAATGGGCAATTCTCACAAACTTCGGATTTTATTATAAAAAAACGAATTGAAAACTGCCCATGTGCGATCGAAACATCTGCGGAATGCTATCTATGCTTAATATGAATAATTGAAGGCAGCATATTATTCACGATTTCTTTTTTCTAATTTCCATGTACTTTATTTCATAAAACTTATAAGTTTAAATCACGTTTCGATCGCCTCTTTTTTGCGTTCAGTAAATACCATTGCGTGCACTTACCCGTCAATACAGCTAAGTTACCCCAATAAAGATAGATTACAGTAAACAGAGATATGATGCAACACAAGAAAATCATGATTACTATTATAATACGGAACACAGCAAACATCCTAGTGGAATAGCTGGCATTTGGTTCGAGAGTCCATAAGCCCATTGTAGTGAGTAAGTAACGATTGAGCCAAATCATCTCATCCACGTCCGTATCTACATCCCATACCAATGCTTTTGAGCTCTTTAGTATATTCTACATACAAATGATTATACATATATAAAACAATATCTCAATACAACATAAGATACACGGTAAATGATTTTTATCCAGGCACTCGATTTTTTCTTATACATATCTTTCATTTTTCAGACCGTCAACATTAGCATCATGAATATGGTGTAATAAATTCAAACTGTCGATCAATGATTGGCTTTAAGTAGCGTGTGATTATAAAAATTAATTTCTTTTGAAAGAAAGCAGCTCATTCTGAAGACCACAGTCACACTTTCATCGTCCGTGAATACGTTCCAAATTATGAATTGATGCATTAAATTCATTTTACACATTGTACCAAAATAAGTAAAAGCAGCAAACAGAAAGTAATTGTTAGAATAGTACTTGTAACTTATCTAAAAAAAATAATTTTCCTCGTAAATCTTCCTATGTATACTGATACCGTATTTCTTGAATTAGCCGTCGTTCGATTGACATTTTTCGAATTCTATTCTTTGTTTCGTACGTTCACTATTACTAAATATCATCAATAATTGAAAACATTTAAGTGTCAAATGCCTTGAGAATTATCGAAAACTTTTGATCGTTTGGTTAGCCTTAGAATGACATCGTTAAGTTACGAAAATAACGTCAATACTGTGCGTTACGAAAGGATATAACGATCTGCTTTGCCAGTTCTACCCTTGCCGATGCTTCATATATTATGCAAAACACTACTTTGTTTCCATGATACGTTACCGTAGAAAAAAGTGCTTCAGCCAATTGCGTAATCATAGATCGGGATGCGAGTTCATTTAATATTAACATCGTCTCTTTTTAATTTTTCGTTAAGATTTGAAAACAGTCTGATTTTCTTAATTTTATTGATATTTACATTCTTAGTACATAATTTTTAGATTCATAATTGCCAAGTTTTCGACATTTTTATTCACCTCGACTTAGCTTCCCTGTTATTATCTATAGCCGGCACGTTGTAACAAAGTGCACGTAATGCTATAGCAAAAACTTTACTTATAAGAGTGAAGGTGCAAGGAAAAAATATTTCCCGTCAATATAATGTGCCAAGTTGAACGAACGGCTTCGAATTCAGTTTTACCTTTGTCTATATTTTTACGCTATTGATTTTTATTATGTGGTTTCGATTGTGAAATAGTGCAGCATTTATAAGCAATACTGATTTCTAACACTTTGCTTGTACTTTATACTTTCAATCGAAATTTAAAAGCTTCGAATAAATCACTTGAAAAAGTAAATTTCATATTATGTTATATAATTTTACGTTTCATTTTCATTCATCTGCTAACGATGTCACTATTACGACAAATGAAATACTGTGTTCAGTTTTGAAGATCGACAAAGAAAAGCAGTCGATCGTTTTTTGTCCAGAAGAGACAATCGATGGCCAGAGAGTATAGGGGAAAAGGAGAGGCAGAGTTTACCATTTTTCTGCGAGTCATATTGCACAGCCTATTTACCAACGTATCCGCCCATTTGCAGCTAACGTCTGCGCGCAGAAATTTTTTCCCACGTAACAAAGGCCTGCAACACCTCATTAACGATAAACAACTGTCAACCGAAAAATTTGCTTATGTGATAGTTATTGTTGATTGAAAATTTACTCTTATTTTACAACAGATTTTACAACTAAAATTCTGTAATATTTTGTAAAACATTACAGATCTACCGCACATATATACATTTATCAGTAAGAGGGAGGAGACGTACTTGATATAAAAACCGATTAATCATTCAGCTGGCAGCTCCGTTTCTTTGACCATGAGATCAAGTCATTGTACTTTCAGCAATCTATACATACAGTACTAAAACTGATTGCCTTTATTCCTTGAGATTTAAAGGTAGCGCAAGCCTTTGAAAGGTTTGAATGAAATGAATTTTACACCGTTATTTATTGCGAATCTTTCGCATCGGCACTATCTTACCGTTAGTAAGTACGCATCAGGCGATAGTTTTCCCGCCAAAAACTCAAATCTTATTATAGCTTTTGATCGACAGATGCCGCTACCAAAAACAGTCGGGGTCTGTATTGCGCTCGATCGGCACGAGCGCTGGTTCAGAGAACGCGGAAGCGACACGCGAGAGAGAAAGAAAGAGAGAAACGCAACAAGCAAGTAACCACCGCCGAGACGCGCATCTCTCGCACACACCCATAGGTGTAGAGAGTAGACGTATTTAGCGCCAGGTTTTCTCGCGCACCGAGAGAGAAATAGTACACATTTCGGCGACGCGGCAGAATAGTCGGTGAGCAGTGAAGGAATAACGCCAAATTCGTTTCTTTTTCAAAGCCGAAACGGACGCACACACCTGTGCACATCGAGACGTGTATCAAAGCACAACAGGTGAGAGAGCCCCTTCCAAAAAACAGTATATGTACGCGCATATCTTTCTGCTTTGCGCCATTCAAGTACGGTTACCTCACGGTACAACAATTCCCTCTCTCTTGGCGGTTTCTATTTTCATCGTCGCGCGAGTTGTTGTTTTGAACAGTTTGTTATACACCGTCGTTCGGCGCGTATCTACGTCGGTTACTCCAGAACACCTTTTAGCTCATACATATCGCGGTCGCACCCTTCGCGAATGGAATAAGAAAAGAAATTGTCCAAATACGTTAAAACGGTAAAACGCAAGATGGTCCACAGTACGTACGTACGATGGGGAGAGCAAGAGAGAGAGAGAGAGAGAGAGAGAGAGAGAGAGAGAGAGAGAGAGAGAGAGAGAGAGAGAGAGAGAGAGAGAGAGACCCCTGGATCGATGCGAGCAAGGGACCCTGGCGAAGTAGCGCCAAGGACGTCTTGGCTTTCTATACACATGTCGATTTTTTTCTTTCGTTCGTTAGCCGCTATTACGCGATTGCAAGTAGGCGTACTGTGGGTGGTACCTAGAGGCTTTGATTACCATGCAGACTCGTCTGTGTGCGTCGGTCGGTTTACGTATGAATTTTTTTCAAATGCTTCTTCGTTCGGACTTTTTATTGGTACGTTTTATTTTGGAGCACGGAAAGAGCATTGACTTTTAAGTGTGCTATTTGGAGATCGAAATAATTTGTCGCAATTGAATGATACACGGGAAACGTTTAATAAGTAATGCAAATGAATTTGATGACTTTACGTAAAATACTATAAATAGCATTGTGACTAGGTTGGACACCTAATGTAGTGTCGCCTACATAAAAAAATTGCATATTACATTCATCAATTGGACGACACTTCTTGTATAGTTCAATCAGCAATTCACGCTTCGCACAGTATTTATACCGATCGTCGATTGTCAAGTTTGTAGTTTACATTACTCACACACAAAACATAAAAAATATCATGACTCATTCTTTTTCTTTTTGACGCATTGAAAATATGAAAGTAATTACCCTGCTCAATGAAATTTTTTGACACAGAGCATGGTCGGTCGATACAGGCTGAAGTGAATAATTAACGAAAAGTCGAAGCAATGTGGGACTTGTATTTTACATCGATAACTCGTCAATTAGAATGTGAAGTTTGTCGAAAAGTCATTTTTGTCGATTGAGACTAGACGCAAACTAACGGACTCACAGTCCAGTCTGACTGCGAACGATGAAAGTTTTCAGTAATGTCGCTTTAAGTGTCATCAGTCGGTTGGTACTTGAAATTCCAGTCCGTAAGTTTGCATTTTATAACGCGCGTCATCTCGGTCAAACGGAAGAAGGAAGTTTTGATATAAGGCAGCGCGAGAGAGCGAATTTTCGAGATGGCGGGCCTCTTCAGCAATTGCGATAACGCTTATCGACGTGATCTTATCGTCGATGTGCCGCAGTCGCAATTCTATTTTCGACAGAATGACCGACACAATCTAACTTCCATCGCGTGGAACGCTGCAGAGGTACACTAGGTACTTGTACGCGTTAGTCTTGGTTCCCTACAGTCATTTGCATGTAAACTTACCTCCCCTACCCCTTTTGGAATCCGAACCATCGGGATCGCGGTAACAAACATAATTTCACATTTCTGAACATTTTCATACGCTCGATCGCATGAACCTTTGCACAGAAGCCTGAACCCTTATCCGCTGGGTCACCGTGGCTCTCTATTAGCGTGAAACACTTGCAATTGTCACAAAAATCTTAATTTTCAGGATCTTACAATTGAAATCTTTTAAGCCGTGAAAACATAATAATTTAAACATTACTTCGAAATATTGTAGAAAGCTATTCGTTCACCGTGATCAACAAGTATTCAATTGTGTGAGTTGACGTGTTGCAATTGATGAGCGTGAGTACAATCGATATAATAAAAGAAAAGTTAATATGAGTCGATCGTCAACCTTTACGATCGGTCAGTTAAAATAAGCTAATAAAATCTAGGAATTGAATATTTGTTGATAAACTGCAAAACATCTATCCGAAAGGGTCGCCGTAAAACCGATATAAAAACTACTTTCTTTTTAATGGTTCGTTTACGATGAAATTGTGAAAAGTTCGTTTATAAGAAGATTAGAATGATCCAGTGAGGTTTACCGTCGTACGCAAAAGCCATTAGAACAGTGATAAAGTGCACTCGAGTATGACGACACTCCCGCGAGCCTGGCGTCTCGAGAGATCTCTTTCATTCCGTTATTCGCTTGGGGATGAGGCTAAAGCCCACGACTGAGAAAGAAAAGCACAATGACGTTCGCCACTGTACATATTTAAAGCTCTCGGTAATGTACGTTTTTTCGAGTGTGTGTACGCATGTAGTATATACGTGTGCACACATACACATGTACATACACGTGTGTACATGTATATCTTAAAGACAATTTTTTAATTTGTCGTCAGCTTTTCGAATTTATGGTTGCCTCCTTTCGCGAAAGAACCTTTTGTATCCAGATTTTCGCTATCGACTCAATTTGATAACTGGCTATTTTGTTATAGTATATTGATAATATGGAAATCACAAATTTGTGAATCGTATTCTCGAGTGTCCAAATGATTAGGTTACGATTTCACTATTCACGTGAAAAGTGATTCAAACTCACTACTAATCAACAAAAAATTCAATCGTCTATCTCGTTTTTCAATATTTTTTTTTTTTATTTTAATGGTTACATCATTTTTTCATTCTCAAGTACAATTTTTTTTGGATTGTTCGTTAGAGAATAAATTTAATACAATAACTCGAGCGTATAGATGTAAACTTCAGTATTATCATAAAGTAAAATAATTTCCCATGAAAGCTTTTCAGAACTCTTGAAAGTCTCGTGTTAAAGGCATCTTATGAAAAGAGAGCCATCGTAAAAAAAAAATCCCCCAAAGATTTAGCCTCGCCGAAGCAAAGTTGGAGACCTTTGCGACAAGTTTGTTGCGCTATCTTTGCCGAGATTCTGCGACGTCCGTTTATTTTTTCAATGTAAATCAGCGAGTCGCGCTAAAATACCATATAATTTACCAAGTGGAAAAGGGATTTGCCAAATGTTCGGGAGAGAGATATCTTCGCCGGCTTTGCGGTACGATCAAAAGGACTTTTCGGTCAATAGTTTGATTCCTTTCAATTGTTTACTTGGACTTCCCCGACCATTCTGGAATCTTGTCGGCATCTTTTGTTAAATAATTGAATCGTTATCGTGATATAATCATTTAATCAATCAGCACTCGACTGAACGAGGCAGGTACAGATTGTCCGGATAAGCGAAATTGTACGTCAATAGAAAATATATTGAAATGGTTCTTTCCAGTGCCCGGGACTTATTAATCTTCATTAACCGTTAAAGGCAACACTTAATTTAAATATTATTCTGAATTAAATGACCGCAGCAGAGATGCAGGCATTCCCAGGTCAAGTGAACACAGCAACGACGGCGGGTGGTCAGACATCAGGCCCCGTGTTAATACACTTTGACCCGTACTACGTACGAACCCTTCCTGGCATGCTCAAAGTTGGTCAGATGGTTAGTATGCTCAACTGAAGGCATGATAATCAAACGCGCGTGCCGCGATAATATGTCTTTGTCTTCGCAACCGATGACGATGCAATTGGCCGAGGATTAAACTTGCGCACGGCCGACCTCGTTTGCCTAATTTATTTTCATCTGCCGCGCGGATATCTTCATGAAAGATCCAAATCTTTCGTGAACAATCTCGCGAAAGATATTTCGAAGTAAGAGCCGCGATTTTTATTTTTATGTAATGAAAAATACTTGCGCTGCAATTAAACTTTATCAGAATTAAAATTATACTCGCGAAAACTACTTAAATAGAATGCTCGATTTTATTTTATAAACGGCAAGTTGTCGTTAATTCCATGGCTACTCGTCAATTAAAAGCAAAGTTTTCAAAGTTGGAATTAGTCGTTTCGCACTTAACGCAGTTGAGCGAAGCAGTCACGGTTCCCTTGAGGATCGTGATTAACGTGGCTCAATATCTAACGTACAATCTGCTTTTGTGCTCGACAGCTACTGAATATCCTGGGCTTCATCTGCATACAGATATCTCACATTAACAGTCACAGCCGTTGTGGATGGTATAGTTCTGTGTCGATGGCTGCATTTTGGGCAACTAGTATCCTACTTGCCTGTTATCAATTTCACGTTGTCGAGAAGTTTCAGAAGATCCCTTGGCTGAAAATCGTAAGTAATCCTTTGTTAGTTCATGAGAATGACAAATCAACCTTCTTTGGCAAGGATTTTTGTTTCGTTATCATAAGAAAGTACGCTTGTGTTTGTTAAATTCAATGAGACTATATGATCAAAGTACAGGCTTATAGCTACAAAGTCTTGAAACACTGTAGTTGAAAAACGTCAAAAATAAAATGCGTTCCTGTAGAAAAAAAGGGTCGGGCTTGCGCAGAATTTTATTTGCAGCTTAACGATCAAATACTTAAAAAAGATATGCTCTTTTTAGGAATTCATTTACTGCGCTATCATTACTGCTTGTTACCTATTGGCTGCTTCACTCGTCGCAGCCCTTGCAAGCACGAGCGAATCATTAGGTGTAGCCGCCGTAAGTATTATTATTTTTTATTAAACTAACTTGACTAAAAAACACCGTTCATCGAAATTGATATAAATTATTGAGTAGTCTAGATAATTTTCTAATTTTTTCACTTGAAATGTCTATTAAGCTTCTAACGGATTTAAAAAAAAATTAAGATCTTTCAGAAAAATCAATGCATACAATTAAATGTTAAATTCCTTATACATTTGTCTTTATCCAAACATGACAAATCCTTTCTCAAATTCTCTCTCCAACCAAATTAAATTAAAAACTTCTAACCTGTCAGCTCAAAATCGATCAATCAAATAGAAATCTATAACAAGATGCATTCCCCTTTATGTGCCTTCAGTTATTCGGTTTCCTCGCTATGTGCGTATATGGCTTCGACGCATGGGTCAAGTTCAAAGCCTGGAAGAGCGGTGACTGTCCCCAGGGCCAGCGACCTTCTTCTAAGCCCGTTTCAACAGTTGGAAGTCCAGCTGGTTACTGAATTCGCAAACCACCATATACAAGTTCTACGTCGCATTTGTTCCATTGTTGTCAACGTTCATCGCTCGAAAAAGTATTTATCTCAAATATCTTTGCACGGACTTATATATACATCAAATATCGATCTGCAGTATAGCTTTTGGTAAATGTTGTTCTTTTTTTCGCGAAACGGGACGTATAATAAAGAAATTTTCTTGAAATATCGTTCTCTTAAGGATCTAGATTATAAATATAAAAATTTCTTTGAAAATTTTTCTGAATGTATAGTTGACAGTTGAAAGACTTTTATCTGCACGCCAATTGTAATTCGTGTGTATAATGCTTAGCTGTTATAATTAGTGCCTATATATCTTACTCTGATTTCGTTTCAAGGTGAACTTTCACGTTATCAGATCGACAATACTAATATATACAGTCGGAATGTCTGTTACACTGTTGGTTGTCTCTCAAATAATACATTAATGCGAATTGCTAAATGAATACTTGGACATATTACTCGATTTTTACGCTGAACTGAACGTTATAGTAACTATTCTATGATATAAATGTTTGTCTACATATCTTACTAACTTTACTCTAAAGAGCATACCTAGCCGTTGAAAAAAATTACTTTTATTGTCGTAAATTTATTCCTTTTTACATTTAACATTATTCTCTTGCATTGTCAAATTTTTTAATATTATGCACGATACTGCCAGACTGTTTTTAAGAGTTGTATTAATTTTATTGATATTAGAAAACTGTTCGTCTGTAAATGTATATCTACGCTCTTATTTCTTCTGTGCAATCGCACAAAGAATCAGAACGTAATTTTTTTCTAGTACCCTGCTTACGTTTAGAAGTTTGTTATGCATATTGTTGTATATCAAATACATCGCGGAGAAAAGATCTGTCACTATACTAATTATGGAAAGTTATTTGTAATTGGAAAGATATTATTCGTATTTTATAACTTTACGCGATGCGAACATCAAATCGAATGGTGTATACTATTTTTGTAAGTATTTAAATGAAAATATCAGACTCAGTATGAGACTTGAAATATTTAAATTTATAATAAAATTTTTTTAATATTCTACATTGAAATCGTCTGTATTTGGAACATTTATAAAACCTGTTGTTTTTATTCCTTGGAATTCGCAAAATTGTAGCTATTGAAACCATAGCTATAAAATTTATAGTTATTGTAACAATTACTACGTTTATTTGTCGATATCAAAGAAGATTACAAATAAATAAATAAATAAATATTATCATGAATATTAAAACACAAATTAGTTGCTAAAATCGTAAATTTTGACCAAGTATTTATCATGTGGTTATCTCACATCGCTTTAATAAAAATTATCCGTTCTGAATTGACAATGCTTATCCTGTTAACAATTTTTGTTTTATACTTATTTAAAACGTAACTAGATAAAACAAAAACGATACGTCGTAACCTGTCCGTAAAAAAATTAATTTATGTAACCTTATCGAAGGTTAATCATATTTGATTTAATCATTCACGTGACTAAAACAAATAATGTAGGAATGAAATGTCAATGTTTGAATTATGATTGCATGTGCACATAATAATTAGCACCATAATTTTTTGTTTAGCACACTACTTAATGACATTAATGAAATATCAACTTTATTGAATTGAACTTAACGACTAAGTATTCGATGTAAATTAATTTTTTCTAAGTATTCGCTTGATCATTTTTCATGTATGTACCGTGCAAAAAAAGAAATGAACACAGTTTCAATTTTGCGCTGACACTTTCGATTCAAGTTTTAATTTATTTTGTTTATAACGATAATTATAAAGATTACAGCAACGAGTAAAATGACTTACAAAAAATTGAGAAAAATAGTTTTGCACAGAATAATTTTATTAATTAAATAGACTGATAATTGATTTTGATTTGAAGGATCTATAAATTATATTATAGGTTAAATTATAAAGACATAAAATTATTATTTTTTTAAGTATAATAGCACATTCATTTTTAAATTGTTTATAAATAGATTTATGCCGTATAATTATTCATACTTATGTACATAATGTAACGCTATAACGTATTAATATTGTTTATTTTTTTAATAATTCTTCTAATAATGTACATACTGTTTATTTATAATGATAAACGGAAATGATACTGAATTCTGACATCAAACTTTCATGTGCTTCATAAAGAATACTTTAATTTAATGATTTTGGAAAAATATTTAGCAGCTTTAGAACTCATATTCTTTTAGATAATTTAAGTAAAATCTTCGTACGTCGAATTTTATATTCGATATAAGATGAATTATATATTTTAAAGTATAGATGGAATTGAAAAAATTGTAAAGTAAATTTTAAAAACAGTTTTTGAGTACCATACGATGATGCAAAAATAATCTAGTTTTATACTTGAATCTTCGTAGCATAGATGTTTGATTTAAATTACGCAAACGATCTGGTCGTTGCTGCTTTGCAATTACTTCTACATTAATTAATTTAAAAGTAGCATTGATAAAATGTATTGTAATATGATAAAATAAACTTGATAAAAAAAGACTACTTTCTACAACATAAAAGCACATGAAATCAATTTATTTTTTATTAATGTATACTCCCAAAAGACTGGAAGTTAATAATAACTAGAAGATAATAATATTTATTGTCATATATTGTCTACGCTTATATAATTGAACTTTAACTCACACTTAAATACGTATATGACTAATTAATTTGTATATTTTAAATGTTATGGTAAATGCGCTGGAATTGAAAAATATAATTAATTACATTTATTATTCAATTTTATTTTTCAATATAAATGTTGCTTTCATTTAATATACGTCATAGAACCCCCTTGTCCTTTAGTATTTTTGAACTATTATTTTCACATTTCCGTTGTCTATTATTCCTCTCTTCGACTCAAACATTTTTATACAATTTATGAAAATATTACTCATATCAACTATGTAATAAATAATGAAAGTATAAATTGATGTTCAACTACATCACTACTGTTCAAACTATGTGACTTTAAATAATGAAATTAGTGAAGAAATACATCACAACGTACAAAGTAATAATGCATTTAATTGCATGCTAGACTATTAAAATGTCATGCTTGATATTATATTTATTTTTCGAAATGTATGCATTTCATAATTTTTAACTGAAACAAGAACAATGTATTGATCGGACATCTTTATTTATAATTCTCAATATTTAATTATGAGATGAGCTAAGAAATAGATTTAATTGTGACCGTTATTTAATATATATACTCTCAGAAAATGCAACGACAATAACGACGAACTTATGAATATTGTTATTAATACAGTTCAGATACGTTCAATTACGTACAGTTCAGATTTATTTTTCATATGATATTTCAATACTTCGAAATACAGCAAATAATGCAATATTTTATATAAAAATTATAAATTGAACTTTTTTCGATTATATATCAATGGTAAATAATTCGACGTACGAAGTGAGTGGAACTGTAAGAACGTATATATTTTCATTTAATTCATCATTTATGTGTGGAATTTACTAAATATATAAATTATGATATTACGCTTATCATACAAGACACTGACACGATTACAAACATAAGGACCAAAGCAACAATAAAGTAAATAAAATATAAAGCAATATGTTACGTAAATGTTGTAAATTATTAGAGAGTATAAAAGTAATTCAGTTAGTTGATGAATTTTTACGATATAAACATGGTATTTACGCTGATGGGGGATGTATGTTAAGGTATATACGTATGTATTTAGAAATATTATAAAAATGGCTTCAATTTTTATTTGCAATCAGAAAGTTCAGATTAATCAAGCAAGAATGTCATAGTGTTGATGAAATATTATGTATGATCGCGATACGATCAAGCACATGTGACTGGATTTCTATCGAACTTTCCCTGTCTGCCATAACATGTCGACGGAGACAAAAGTTTCTTTAATTGAATTTTTCAAGTAATTGTTTTATCTCTTCATTAATATTTCAGTTGATTTAAGCACAGTTTTATTATTTATTTAACAAAATCATACTAAATATAATGGTGATGTTAAGTTTGTGCCTTCTTTAATTGAAATTTAAGATAAATTTAACCATTTAAAACGTTGCAATAAAAATTATAATCCAATGTGGAACAATTACAGAGAAGAAGAACAAATAAAAATTTGAAATCTGTCTTTAGAAAGATTAAATACCTACTGTGTTACAAAGAAAGTATACTGTATAATTTGGACGATAGTGTAACAAAATTTTTTTCGTTTAAGGATCGTAAGCTAGTGAGTATACATTATTTTAAATAATCGCGTTAGAAGCTGACAATATGTATTAGTGTATCAGTCACCTATTTCAATAAAGTACATATTATACTTAATGTTAATTGAACTTGTATTTTCCCATTTTTCTTAATCCCCATCTACTATGTTCAGGTTGAAGCTTAATTGGTATGAGTACAAGAGCTTTCTACATATAAGTTGATCTTTTGTAATAAGAAATTTCAAAATTAACTCAAAAGAAAAAACTTTCTAGAAAAGAAGCATATAAAGAATAATGCTCGTGGAGTACTACAGGTTAGTAACTCATCCATTTTAATAAAGAATCGACAGTATATACACAAATAACAGATTCATTTTAACTATATCTTATCGTCAATTAATTAATATTAAACTTATCGATGGTGATAAGTTGATGTAAAAAAATTATAGGTAAAATTTTGTTGACTTCCGAGATTGTTTTCCTAAAAGGGCTGCTTCTGTTTGATTAGTAAGTAATGAAAAATGTTGCATATAAAACTCGCGTTTTCGTTCAAACTTAAAAAAGAAACCGAAAGTAAAATTAATGGTAACAAATCCAGTCAAAATAAGTAAGTCGTTTTTTATGTATTATATTATCAGTTTCATAAATTGTACATTAAAAAGAAATATTCTGTTACTAATAAAAATCTCATTTATATTAAATGTAAATTATGTGTACATTCATGTGATGAAATACACCCATATAATTTTTTAGAGTACAGTTTAGATGTCTAGTCGAGATGTCTAGTAATGTACAGGTGCCAAGTGATTAATAATCTTTTGTTTTTACATTGGACAGCACCACCTATCTACTGACAAGTTTTCTAACCAGTTTAGTTTAGATGTAAATAACTGTCTATTTGAACAATCATTAATTTGGTCTAAAGTTATCATAGATATTCTGCCACAGACAAATTTGCTCTTTTGATGTTAAATCATATTCTAAATCCTACGAAATCAAAGCGAAATCGAATTTAAAAAAATGCATCATAGAAATATCGAGGTGGTTTCACTATAATAAATATAATAATAAATCTTTCAATTAGCTTTTCTTGAAACAAGCTTTCTTTGGAAATAAAACTTTTGTTAATAGAGTAGAGCAATCGATTCAGTCAAAAGTTACATAATCTTCAGAAAATTGTTGTATAAAGTAAATGTCTAATAATTGATAGTAACACTAAATTATAAATAAGATAAGAAAAAGTCCTTGATAAACGAAGAAAGACTACAAGCTTTTTAATAAGACCAGCTAAACTTGAGTCAGAAGGCTTTAGATAAATTTACATATACACGTCAAGTTAAAGTACATGTAACTATGACAACTACATATTTTTAAATGCATAAGATTCATAGATGCTTGATTAAAGATTGTATGCGCTCAATAAGTCTCGCTTCTTTCTTAACGGGTATCACGTTCTACGCTAACATTTTCGGTAAAAATAGCTTTCAATGTTTTTATTCTTATTTTCAATGATTACTTTTTTTCTACTTTTAATCGAATACAATACTTTTTAAACGAAATGATTCCACTGACAATGAAAATCCATTAGTTTCTAAATAAGGGTTGAAAAATCATTTTATAATCGTTCTTATGGGAAAGAAAATATGAAAAACTTGCAGTTGAATTCATATCAACAACATTCATCTGGTCTAGTCTACTTTAATAAATTTTTGTTAAAAAAAAAATGCGTCCAATTGTGATGAAAATTAAGAAAATGCGTGTTATTAAGATACTAAAGCCTCCAATATTCATAGAATAAAATTAATGTTATGAGTTATAGGAATAACCGCAGCATGCAAATACAATTTTACTTTACGGATAAAACCATTTATCTTCCAATTAATAAATAAAAAATTCCAACAGTATTCATAAAAAAATGTGGTCAAAAATTAAGGCTCTCTATCTTCACAAGTGAATGCTTAGTGAGATTGGTAAAGTACATACTTCCACTTCATTTATCAAAATCATTAGCGATGGGCATTTTTTTCAGTGGAAACTTGATTTTTCACTATTATAAATTGTAATTAGTAGCTAGAACGAAGCGCAAAATTTTCATACTCAGCTCAATACAATAACAATGTCAAGAATTACTTTTTAATCAATCTGCATGTTCAATTTGACTTTTCTAATTCATTCATCAACTTTTTTTATTTTAATAAATATTTACAAGTCTTAAAATGGTATTACTAAAATCATCTCAAGATTAATTTTAGATAAAATATTTTTTGCGTTATTATTTTTCAATTTTTTGAATACTTCTATCATACCAATTTAATATTTTCAAATATATAGAATCTCTAGTTAATTCTGATGAAGTGATCGAAAATTATCGGTTAACAATCGAAGGAGTGTTCAAGAATTGACAAATTGTTAGTTGCCTTGTAATCGAATAGAACTAAAGCTACGATTGTTAGATAAAGTTAGACAGCTTTGCAACTTTAATTGTTTGATTGCATACTTAAAATAAGCTTGAGCAACGTGACAACACAATTAATAATAGCGCTTTATCACAATAAGTTTATTGTAGAGACTTTTGATAGCACATCTTATCAAAGATGAACTCGCAAGCTTCGCTGAGATCGCAACACTCGCGTCGAGATCTCGACCTCCACTCATCCTTAAGAGGAAGATAAGACAAATCGCACTATAATCACTGAATCGTACCTAAAATAACAAAAAATATGTTTTCTAACTATTTTTCTCGACATGGCAGTTCAACGAGCTTGCACTCGTCGTAATTCATAAAAGTAACATATAGACATCTGACTTTTGAGATCGCTCGTGTGCCGCTATGATCTCAACGGTAGTCGTATTCACAGCACAGAGAAGAAAAAAATAGAAGCGAACCCTCAACTTCCATTTTCCTCAGTCGCTTCCTGTCTTGGGATTCTTTGCGCGTCATAATCCCGAACGTAATGTCATCGCTCGCTCGCGCGTGTATCACAGTACAGGGGATATGCAATAAACTATGGCTGACAATGAGAAGAATTAAGCTGAAACTAAGACGAGCAGACGCTTAGTGTGATAAAAATAGAGTGAGATCGGTTTAATGTATACGTTTGGCATATCTGTCCGTCGAAGCACATAGACTTGTCTATTTTCCTGTCTCGTTGAATATACTAAAGAGAGAGAACGAGAGAGAGAGAGAGAGAGAGAAACTGCGCGTAGGTACAAGATAGCCATTGCGCGGGTCAGTGTCTACGACTTCCCCGCTCGGTTGCATACAAAGCTGCTATCGTGCAGCATATGAGCCGAAGGAGGAAAAAAGTGACGATACACTCTGAGTGTGACGTCAAATCGCGTTTCATCGGAGAAACACATGCATGCGATTTCCTAAACGGCGCCAGAGAGAGAGAGAGAGGGAATTACGTCGGGTTGATCGTCGCAGGATAAAAAACCTTTGGGGGCTTGTGCGGAAAGCTCAGTCGTCCACTCGACACTCACTTCGATCGTGGAGAGTAGGCGCCCGGCGCGTCCGTCTCTCTCCCTCTCTGTCTCTCTCTCTCTCTCGCGCGCGCGCTCTTTCTCTCGCACTCCCCGTGTACACGCGTATTTTTGGTTTTGTTGCGCGCGCTCGCTCGCAACAGACTATAAAGCTACACCTGTGCGTGGAGGGAAACGCCATTCGCTGAGCGTTCATCACTCCGACGAGATCGAGAGACAGAACAGCGCGCTTATCAACAACTCGCGTGTGCGCGTGCCCGTGTTTTGTTCTCGGCGACGACTGCACCCGGCGGGATGCTCCGGAGAGGCGCGGCGATCGTTTGCCTGGCGCTGCTACACTGCGTGCTCGCCGAGGCCAGATGGCACGATTTGAGAAATCTGAGAAGGCACCGAACTGCCGAGCCGTCGATGGACGAGTCGCCGCGAGCGTTCGACGATCCGGCAGCCGACGAGGACGCTCGCCACGGGCGGTATCGCCAATCCGAGACGAGCGAAAACGAGGAGTCGACGGAGGACAACGAAGAGGCAGACACGCGACGCGCGCCAACTCGCGCGGAGTTGGACGGCGAGTCGGAGCGCGACGAGCAGGCGCAAGCGCGCAGAGCGCCGAGGCACCGCGCGCTGCACCCGAGGAAGCGCCATCGTCGTCATCACGCGCGCCACCACCGAAAGCCGACGCTGGCGGACCTCGACGCAGCCGTGTACCTGGAGTACGAGGACGGACTGGATTTGCCGCGCGACAAGCGCCACCAGCGCCGGCGCAACTGGACCGAGGAGGACTGGAGGGCCTTCGAGAGCAGCCGCCGCCCGGAGCTCTACGACCACGACATCCACGTGTTCGAGCTGGAAGTTCGCGAGGCGCAGAACAGCTCGCTCTGCAACTACACCATCATACCGATTCCCGATCCCGGCGGCCGCGTCCCCCGCCTGCTCGAGCACGTCAAATGCAACTACGTGGGCAATCGCTGCCGGGAACGCGGCAGCTACTGCTGCGTACAGACTTATCGCAACGTCGAAGTGACCTATCCTGGAAACAAGAACGATACCATCAAAGTTTACTCGGGTTGTGTCTGTGCTCTGCAAATCTACGGCACTCTCAAGCCTTACAATCCCAAGTTGCCGCTCGACGACTAGCCGCTCGTCCTGGTACATCGTCTCGCTCCCTTCCATTCATCATTGTCGTCGGCAACTTCTCCTTCATCAGCGACTCTATGACAGTATTCTTATTTTGTAAATATAAAGTGGTTGTGACTGATTGCATTCAACTTAATTAACTCGTCGCCAGCAGTGGCGCGTCGGACACTGTGATCTCCCTTGCTGGTTGATCGTCGATTATACGAGGCGCATGGCACTCTGTACTTAACGAAACCGCGCTTGCCGATGCAAGCGAGTTATGTGATAAGCGAACAAAACGGCAGACAAGAAACACCCAAACAAAAGCAAGTAACCGTGCCATAGTCGAGCGTCAATGGGTTACGCGCGTCATTGGTCCAGATCTGTTAAAAGACAGTGTTTGGCCCCGCCAATATTACACTTTGAACAAGCACGCTTAATCCTTCTCTATCTCTCTCACTCTCATTTTCTTCATCTATTTTACTGTCACTGCGTTCATTTAATTTTAAACTACTTCGCTCGTCGTCTGGTAGCGAACTACCGATTCTTGCCATGTATTAATTAACATTAGACTTCTTCTTTTTCTGTCTCTTCATTTATATCTTACCTTTACAAAGAACAAAAAAACACTATTTATTTATTTATTAAATTTTAAGCAAATTGTGCGCCAACGATTTTTACGTCTGTGTAGCGAGAAAGCAAAGTTTCCTGTGAGCGAGGATTATTATGAATGAATCACAATGTAAATAACAGCGTTAAATGTATAAGTAGCCGAATAAAACAAAGTTTTTTAATTGAAAAACGTTGATTCATAATTGTGTTTGTCCTGCTTGCCAATCATTTCCCACTCTCGAACGCCTGAAATAGGCAACCGCGCCGACAATAATGCACAACTGCAGCCGCTAAATTTGAAAGAGTTTTTGTTATTCATCAGTAATCCAAGTTATGCAACAGGTAAATTATCGGACAATTTTTTTAAGATGACACATTTTCTATTTTCTGAATTAATCATTACCGAGGACTACATTGACAGGCTCATGCAAACATTCATGAGTTATGCAGACGGAACAAATGTACTTTCGGAGATTAAAACTTTTGATAAAATATCGTTTGATAAAAAAATTCCTGCTTTGCTCCAAGTTCGCTTTTTTTTCCTCGATAAAAACACCACGCTCTATCGTAGAATCGATTATAAAGGAGAAAGATGCGGTTCATTCATGTAGGTTTGCCAATAATTGTCAAATACGAGTCCTATTAGAATTGTTACAATTGCCAATGGATTTTTATAGCCAAGCTATTAATATACATAAGTATCTTTTATATGTAATGAATAAAAATTTAATCTATCTTTTTTTGTGTCGTACAAGAAAAGAATGGATTATTAGAATAGGAATTCAATGAATATACGTTAATGCTGCTACTATTCGCGCGTATAATCTATTTTTTTCAAAAAGAAAATTTTTAGATGCTTCATTCAACATTGACTTTTTTATGACCGAAAATCGTTATGAGTTGTACATAAATAGATATTTTTTTTAATACAAGTATAATCTTGTAAAACCCATCTATCGGCATTGATTTTACTTTTGATCGTACACAAATGAGATTCGATATTGAATAGTTTGAAGATAAATATTGTAACTTCAATTTACTCCTTTGCGTGAAATTTCGTTGTAGGATTCAAATTATGCTAAACGGTATTAATAAATTCGAAATGTTTAGGTACAAACATTTAGAAGTATTAGTAACTCCTAACTCGTGAGGTATTATTAGTTATTTTTTTATTTTTGCGATAGATAATTCAGTTCAAAGCTCTATCGGCGTTTCAACATATTTGGAAAGTTGAAATTACTCTAAATAAATCTTTCATTTTCCGTAAGAATAATTTGCCGTTTCTGGTTTGTTTCCAGAACAGAAAATACTCGAATATGCATTTATGGCGACCGTATCAACGTCACTTTCCCCAACATCAGCGTCAACATGTGGGTCAATAACCCCAAGACAAATCGAAAGTCATTCTCGCCCATCTCAGTGGATGAAAAAAATCAGAGACATTGCTGCAAATCGTCGTCGGCACGTGAGCGCGCGTGCGACAAAAAGAAAAGTAATTACACGACCTCGGATTTGTGTCGTTTCATTCATCTTTCGGGGAATACCCTCACTCGCGCGTATACGAGCGAACACACGAATTTTGTAACAAGTAATCCCCGAAATGTCTTGCCTTTCCTTAATGACATGCATGTTATCAAGGTGTCCTTCATTTAGCACTTGTGCAATGACTACCGAGATAGCCGAGTTTAATTTATAAAAGTACCGGTACGCAACTGCAGCGGGGATTCACAGAAAGATGTTGATGCCAGCACTGGCAAGGCAACGCTTTGGCGGACGCGTCAAGGGACTAACAGGATGCACCTGTTGATTCGCTCGACTCGGCAAATCGCCCGTTAGAACTTATTTCGCTTTTGTTTGATTTTTTTTTTTTTTTTTTTTGTCGTTGTATAAACATTTGAATGACGTACTTGAAGAAGTGTGAGAAAGTATGACGTCGTGTAATAAGCCAATCAACAGTTTAGTTTCGGTAGCACTAAGTAGAGAAAAAAATATTTAAATGGATTCTAATATTAGCAGTATCTTGCACAAAAAGTCAGCCAATTATTAAAGGAGGAAGTTGTTCTTGCTCGAATTTATTATTATTCGCGTTAAAATCCGTTATATTTAGAGCTTGTACCGTAAATGCAATAACATTCGGAGAAATTCCAAATTTAATTCTATCGCTATTTTCGAAAACACGAGCGTTTATTGCTGCACGTGTCGAAATCTCGTAATAGTAAAGCGAAATTTATTGTATCTGCGCCTGTCTGCTTCTCTGAAGTGTTATAAGAAATCTGTATTTTATTACCGTTGGCGATACAAAGTATTATGAAAATCGAATTGATTATTTCTTTTTGGTAGATAATTGAAATTTATTATCTCAATGGAAATTTATTCGCACTTTAACTTCAAAGTCGCGCGCTTTCGGGTATCTTATTCAAAAAATAGATGTTGTCACTCGCGCGTGATTGCCTTCATTTTGAAAACGCTCTGTAGCGCTCGTGTTTTCAAAATAAACCCTTTCTGCGCTCGTCGCGAAATCTACTATTTTCTCGTTTTCCGATGCTCTATCTCGTAGGTACACGTTGTCGTTCAACGCGAAATTTCGTAAAAGAAGTCCATTCTCGATGCACATTGAATGCATGCTTACGCTTAAAAATGCCGAATGACAAGCGGATAGGTAAATTTAAAATAACACGTGCACGATCGACAAACGGCTTTCGTGCGACACACAAATAAAGCGATGTTGCAAGATTCCGTTTCATGAATTATCCAAAAACTGTCAAACACTAAAATACATACTGTATAAACGACTTGCGCACGTTCGCGTGAAGAAATCCTTAATTGCTCGATCACCGTTTCGCAAATTATGCAAACGATCGTGCAAAGCATCAGATCGAGCGTAATAGATCCCAGAAGATAACAAAAAAAAAAACAGAAATAAGCGAAGCAAAATAGAAGAATAGAGTAGATGGCTGGAGGAAGAGAGAGAAAAAACGTACAAGCGGTGTGTGTCTGATAGTCGCGACGTCGGGAAGATCTGCATACGGGAAAAAATTCTAAATAAAGACGCTACTCGCTAGCATCTAATGAAATTACTATGATAACGCGTCACGACATACGCACGATGATAATTTTTGCACGGCCTTTTCATCCGGCCGAACCATTAATGAATGGACGCGGACTATTCTTCTTTTCCTATCCAGGATTTGCGTGACGCGAGCTAACGCTGCTGGTCGCCAAGCCCATTCCTATTAAAGCAGGAAATCTACGTCTCTGCTAATGTATTTTCTAACTTAAATCAGAGCTCAAATAAAATTGCACAAAACAGTTTAGATTCTCTTATAGACTGAAACTGTAATCGAGGCTACCGCAAATTCAACAGGATAAGTTGTTTAAATAATATAAATGTAGGTAATTGAAAGATTTTCCGTTCTATCTTAGCAAATATAAATGCAGCAAAAAATAATTCAAGTCATTTTTCCGCAATCGAAAACCTTGTCAAATGAGATATCGTTCGTTAAAATTGATCAAGAATTCGATTAGTTATTCGCAAAAAACCCTTGAAAAATTATTTTTTTAAATAAATTTTTACTACTAAATCATTCATGAAATTTAATAAACGACTATTGTAAAGAATGTATTTTGATGGTATATATGTACATACATATTTTCAAATATTTCATCAATAGTGACATTTTTGTATAAAAACACATTATTTGTTAATTATAATATCTCGCGAATAAATTCATCGTATAAAATTTTTATGCGTTATAAGTCAGCTAAAGGTTATTATTTTATAATTTGTTTATTTAAAAAATTAGGTCAATTATTGCAAAGAATTTACGTAAGGTATAAAATTTTATAGCTTATTGTAACATTTATCTATGTATTACTGATATATATTTCGACAATTTAAAAACATGGGTTTTCTAGCTTCATTACAAAGTTGAGATATTTCTTTTCAAAAAATTACAGCGCACTCAATTCATAAAATCAAGGGATAAAAATTTTGTCGTTTTATTGTTTAAATATTAAACGTTATCATACACTATTAAAAATGCTTAAATTATTTATTTACTGTTAACATTCACTCTCCACCTGTAACCCTATCTCGAATCAGCGAACGTACCCGGTGGTGGGGAGGAAGCTACGGTGCGTGTAGGGAAACTGAAAAAGTCGGTTCAATCTCGCGAAACTGAAAAATTTCTCGTTTATTCAGAAAGTTCTTGTACGGTTTGAATTAATTTTTTTTAATAGAGTATTTTTAAAAAATATTAACAATGAGCATGCTCACATAGTCAGATTCCGAACGCTTGATTTTCTTATAGAAACGATGCTATTATTAATAAATTTGGCGAGCAAAATTTATTCTTCAACAAGTAATTAAAATATAAATTGTGCTAATTCGTAGGGATACAAGTCAAAAATCATAAGTATTCATGCGAACTTATAAAATTATTTAACTTTAATTTTCATGGCGTAGTTATTTTATAAAGGATGAAAGTATCATAAAAAGATATACGCGCATGGATAATAAATAGAAGTTCTAATTTGTGTTAGCATAAACAATTATTTATTATTTTATTTGCTAAGAATGGATTGATATTCGAGTTTAAAGAATATATTTAATACTAAAATATATAAACTTACATAAAGAATGATTTGAAAAAGACGGCATTGTTTTTATTGATTCAATCGGACATTTTGTATAAATTATTGAAAATTATTGCTTTTTAAATAGGTTTTTCCATATTTTTTTTCTCTAAAAAAATATTAATTAACAAATTTCAAGTTCCCTTAGAGAGAACGTTCGTAGTTCTAAGAGGCTCAGGCCTGCATCATTTTTTCGAAATAGATTTGATACCGTGCACAAATTAAATGGGTGATTCGCTTCTAAATTAAAAAAAAAATCCATCTGTTAGAAAGTCACCGAGAATATTCTATCATGATACACATTCTTCAGATGATATAATAAAATAAAAACATGACTGTGAAATTATTTGTCAATTATATTATACACAAAAAGATAAGGAAAATTTGAAAGATTTATGATGTAACAGATTCAAGAATGCCAAAATTAAATCTTTGTAAATGGAGTCGTTACCTTCAACTGAATCAGCAGCTGAT